ATTATTGTGAATGGTCATGAAATCTGTGAAGCAATTGCATAAAAATGCCCGACTTGCTTAGGAATAGGAAATTAATTTTGAAGGAGCTCCACAGAAAATTGAGACAAGTTTCTTAACCGAGTAAGAGGTTGAAGGTTCACTCCACCCAAAATAAAATCCTCATAAAATTCTTCCACAGTTTAAAAGAGCTCTATATGGATTGCAAGGCGAAACAGGTTTCTTCAACAGTTATGCCATTCAAGGACTGCATAAAAGTAGTATTGTACAACAAATAGCAAATCTTCCAGGTGGATAACAACTATTGTGAACGATGGGATGACACAGAAATGCAAGCAGATACTGTCTGAAGTAGAATTAAATTGAGAGTTAAAATACTAGGGAGAATGATTTAACAAAAATATTAGCATTGCCTTTTAGATTAACATCATATTAGTGTATTCCGATGACCATTACCTGCTCAAAAAGTAATGTAACTGGAATAGTGATTACCAGAAATGGAATTATTCATAATTTTATGCATTTGTTGCTCTGATGTTAAGCCAGCAGTGGACAGTTTGAAATCTATTACATTTTTATGTACATAATATCAGAAATTAAATTAGCAATTAATAAAGAAATGTGGCACTGCATGATTTCTATTTCAAATTCCATTTGTATTAAAACATTATACTATATTTATTCAAAACAAGTCGCATTTCAGATGACAAAGGATTACTATTAGCTCGCGAGCCACAGTCAAGATGTCAGAGAGCCGCAGTTTGGCCATGTCTGTAATATAGTCTAAATATCATACTGTGAGAAGTAATTGCTAAAAAAATAGTTGTTACCTGTCTACTCTATTTTTATGCAAAGATTTTTTTTATTTTTTTCAATGGGTTGATTAACTGGTTATGTAACCCCATCATGAAATTTTCTTCATATCAAAATATAGAGAAATATAGTTTTAATTCCCCTTAAATGAATTTTGGCAGTTTCCAAATGTAAATGTGACTAAGGTTTTGGAAATTACTTTTCTTCAAAGAAGTTGACTATGCTTTGTGCTATAAATGGTTTTTTCTGAAATTTTAACATAATTTTACAGAATTTAAAAAAGAACAAAAAATTGTTATTGTTAATACTAGATGTCAAGCTGGACTTTATAATATGCGAGGGTCATTCAAATCTAAGCAGAAACTTTCATGCTTTGTTGCCGTGACAAGTTTAACATAATTATAACTCACTGAACAAGCACATACACATTTGAATTTGTCATTTGTAATGCTAGTTTTTCTTTCTGTCAGCTCTGTTTGTTATAATCAACATATCACTGCAGAAGTTCAGTATTATGCAACAAATCATCATTATAATTTTTGACTAATGATGGTGGGATTCCTTTTCACATTTATTTGGCACCTAAAAATCAGTTTAGATGTCGCTTATTCTGGATTGTATGTTTAGTGTAAGTCTTTTAAAGAAGACCAGATGAAAAGTGAAAATTAAACACATGTTTGTCAACCAACAATCTCAACTGTTAAAGAAAACTGACAATAGTTGATGCACTAGTTAGGGCCAATCTAATAATCACCATCAGAGAAATTGTTATGGATCTAAAAATAATTCTTTGTTATGTGAAGACATTAGTTAAAGATAGTCATAAATTTAGTAAGGTGAGCATCAGATGGATGGCTTCCCCATCTTTTGATGCCTGAAGATTGAAAGACTTGGAAACATTGGACATTGAAACATGCTTCTACAATCACACAGGTGGGATGTCCTACCGCACCTCCAAATAGTCCTAGTACCATCAGACTTTCACCTTGTTCAAGAGAGAAGAGAAACACACCAAAGTGAACCATAAAATCAGAGAAAGTAGCAACCTTCTGTTTGGTGTATACAGTACAAAGTCCGTAATCCAGACTTGTCAGGACTTCGGCGATCCCGAGTTATAGATCCTCAATATAAATCTGGTAAGATGACATGCAGAAATTATATAATTAAAAATAGGAAACCATAATTTATGAAATAAAGAGCAATTATGATCTAAAGGGTATCAAAATTTACAAAAAAACCTTAATATTTATTTGTTTACTTTATTAAACATTTTTTCAAGTAAGTTGTTTAAGTTGCTTCATTTTTTGTGCAAACTTTCTCTTTAATTCTATAAAAGAATAATTTTGTTCAGTTACAAAGTCCAGTCAAGTCCTTAATGCTGCGTCGAATACCGACTAACTTGTCAATCGAAATTTTTGTTTCAATAACCTCTCTGGTCACTCTTCACTATGAAAGTGGTATTTTCTGGATCTAGAACCATACACACATGCGTATATTGATGATTGGGGGATTGTCTTCAGTGAAAAACTTCTGTTATATCATCTTCATTTATTACCGCTTCTCCACATTTCTTTGCAAAATCCAATAACTGGAAAGTTTCACCTTTAGTTTGCTATGAACGAAAACCTTCAAATTCGCGGCTGTCATCTTCATCGTCCTCACCATAAAGTATGGTAGCTGGCCATAAATTATGCCAAGCATTTTTGAGCATATCTGGAGGCACATACTCCCACAATCTTACGATGCTCCACACAGCAGATTTTATGCTAAAAGATTTTAAAAAGTCTTGAATAGTCGTGCCACTGTTCAAGAAACTTAACATAGATTTTAAAAATGCTACTTTATTTGCATTTCAGCATGTGCACTATTCTCATATCCATAGATGAATTATAGACATACAATGAGGAAGAATATGGATCTTATCTTTACTAACTTTAAGTGAATATGTGCTAACAGTTGTCAATTCAGGATTTTTTTTGATATCATTAAACCTGAATTCAATTTTGCCGACTCGGGTTAAATTTTTTTCAAGCATCATTCATCATGTTGTGTCATCATCTCTTTATTGCACGAGTATAATGGGGAAAATTGTTACTACCTTTAATGATCGAGGTCGTGATTTTTTCTGATTATGAGTTTGCACCTGTGCTTCTGCAGCTTACGCACCTAAATGTTAGTCTCGCTTGGAATCTTTGATACTAGGTGAGCCTTTCCTGTAGAGGTGCAAAGTATTTCGCGATTATTGGAAAAACCATTTCTCATGTGTGAATTTGTTCTGGAGATAATGTTTACTAGTAATGAGTCCAATGACTTCATCTGTAAATTGTTCAACAGCTTCAGTATCAGTTGAAGCTTTTTCACCCAAAATTTTTAATTGTCTTATACCATGGCAATTTTTTAATTTGGTTAACCAACCTGTCGAATATATGCACTCTGTTTAAATTCATTCCTTCATGAAATATTTGGCTTGAACCATTAGCATTGGACCTGTCAATGGCACGTCCTCGCTGCTATGCTGTCTGACCCATTCAATCATCACTTTGTCATGATCATCAATTTTAGCATAACAAAACCTTTTTCTGTTATTCATTGCAAGTGGGATGTCGGAATCCACAAAAAATTCAAAAAGTTCTTTTTTCTTTTTTCTTATATACAGTTGACTTTCCAATGTCATATTCCTTGCATTATTTTGAGACGGATATGCTTTGTTTGTAGTCCTTTGCCAGCTCCGAATGGAACTCTTTTGAAGTAATCGAAAGTTCAGCTAATTTTAAAATGCTTTAACAGTCTGCAAAATAATAAGTTGGATCCATTAGAATTAAGGAGCATAATCTGCAACATTAACTGAAATGCCTTAGAATCAGTAAAGAGAATTTTAGCCTAGCTTATACCATCCATTATGCATTAAACGTGCATGTATAAAGCATACAAAAAAAGTTTGTGGCTTTAAGGGCCGGATTATAGATCATTCCGGATAATGGATGTCCGAATTACGGACTTAGTACTGTATTTTGTTATTTTTGTTTATTTATTATAGTTATATTTTTGCTTTGCTTAATTTTATATTTCATCTCGTTGTTCCATTATAAGAATTTTTAGGCTGCTAGAAATTCAAACCTAACGATCAGGTTATTGACAGTGTTCAAGAATGGAAGAACATACAGTCAAAAGACCTTTCATTCTTCTGGAATTAAGAAATTTCTTGGGTGTTGAAGAAAGTGTATTTATGGTGGCAGGTGACTACATAGAAAAATAATATATTATTTCACTGCATTCAGTAAATAATGTTCAGCTATAAACTCCTGTTTATATTTGAATGTCTCTTCTATATTACATTAGAAATGACAAGGAGTAAATAATGAAAAACAAAAAATAGCAATGATTTTCTGTGGGCATTACTCCATGTATTGTGTTATTCTCAAGATTGTTATAAAGGTCAAATGTATGAAGTTGTAATAATTATGCATGCCTCAGTCTTATTCGTTATCAGTTTATTAAATTTATGACATTTAAATTTGTAAAATAATTTTGATATTGATATATGCTATAAATTTTGCTATAAACATGTATAGTTGTATTTATTTAATATACATGGTGTATAAGTTAATCATGCACAAATTCTTTAAATTTTTCTTAATTCTATATTAAATTTTGGAAAGCTGAAGCTATCTATAATTGTCATACATCATGTCCTCATAAATTTCAAAAAATCACTGAATGTACCATATACCAATATCGAGCTCGCATTTGCCAAACATTTAGGTAATTGATTTTTGCTTTTTTGATCAGATAAAATTATTATTTTCTTATTTAAAAATTTCTTACATTTTTTGTAAATTATTTTCTTTCTCATTCACTCTCTCTCTCGCTTTATTTATTTATATAAATTTTAAGTAATGTTTGAAGCTTAATTTTATTACTTTTCAGGTCTCATTGAAAAATTTGCTATAATATTATTTCAATGCTATCAGTTGTATTTGCGGCTACTGTATTACAATTCAGATCCTGATTATTGCTGGGTGAGCAAGGGTCAGACTTTGGGCCCCAGTTTTAGATTATCAAAATTATCCTTTAATTTCCCATAAACTTATTTTTCCTTTATCAAAGGGAGTCCACCAGTGGCCGAGCGGTAAAGTTGCTAAACACTGGTCGGTCTGAGGTTCAAATCCCGCGAACGGGCTGGCTGCATGGGTGTCTATCTCCCCTTAGGCAGATAGCCCTAGTGTGCTATGCCATAATTAAGTACACCACACCACACCTTTATCAAAGCAGAAAAATATGTATATTAAGGGAATTTATCTTAACTTTTGGGGTGAAGGGTCCCTCATCTTAAAACATAAGGTACGTTAACTATTTCTAAAACTAAAAAATAATATTTTGATCTCATAAATCTGCCCCTTTTTTGGGTGGCCCTGAAATAATGCTCCCCTTAGGTACCTAGATTATTTATGTAAACTGTGTTGTTAAAATTTATTTTCTAACTTGGTGAGTATGGATATTATATGAAATGCTGATAAATTGTATTTTTGCTATGCAATTTATAAAAGTAATCCACTTTCTGTCCAACATAAAACAAGATTAATTTCATTTCATCTTTTACCTATATCATAGTTCTTCCTTTTTAGCAGGTAATCTTTGCTTTTTATAACTTATAGAAGGAATGCATTTTACCTGAATATAGCTTTTAATTGGAATTTAGGTAACTAGAACAATGTATTTTATTAATTCTTCCTGCTAATAAGGCACAACTAGAAAGATTTATGCTTGATAAATTGTTTGATTTTATAAGATAAACTACATTTTTAGGGTAGGCAGAAGGAAATGAGGAATTTGCTGAATTTTTTGTTGATTATTGTTCTTAATTATGTAATATATTAAAATTTTTATATATACTTTATTTCAGATATTGGATTTGTATGTTTCCAATTCATTTCGATCTTAACCCAGCTTTAGTTACTACATTGCGAGATTTTCAAAGGTGTTTGTGTGATCAAAGTTATCGTGCTTTGGCAGATCTTCTTGATTTGTCAAAACTGTGAGTATAAAAATGTAATTTTCATTGTTTGTATTTGTTCAAGATATAAGTATTACTTTTTGATAAAACACATTTCTTCATTATTACCTGTATTTGCAGTATTTATAGTCGATAAAACACATTTCTTCATTATTACCTCTGTTTGCAGTATTTATAGTCAACCATAAAAATGTTAATGTGTATCTTTTTATTTAACATTTAGACCTTCCTATGATTGGGCTCGAAGTATGTCAGTTCGTAATCCTCCTGCAAAGCATACGAGAAAAATATCTCTAGTTTTTGACCATTTAGAGGCAGATGAACTCGCAAATCACATAACATTTTTAGAACACAAAGTTATGCGGAGAATAACAGTGAGTATATGAATTTTATTATAAGAAACTTTTTAAAAATTGTTTTTAGGATTTATGATAAAATCTGTAGTAGCTTTTACAGATCGAATCAGAGTTTAAATGTATAAATACTATCATCATTTTCTTTTTGCATTTAAGTTTAGGTGTAGAATTAGGTAATTTTGCTCCAGGACATCATTAATTAGCCTTCAATTATGTTTTTGTTATAAAATAGTGATCAGTATATATAGGACCTTCTATATTGTAATTTTTATGTTAAGTTTTTTTGGGGGTCCTATGCCTTTCTTTGCCATTTCTGCCATTAGTCAATGCCATTAGCCCAATAAAATGGTGAGAGTGTACAAATTAGCCTGGATAGAGTTGTCTGTAATGAACTTTAAAATAATAGGCCAGTTCTTGAGGTGGAATTTTCATCCATATCACCATATACAGAATTTCATCCATATACAGAAGGCAACAAGCCGAATTCTTAATTCCAATACGATGTAAATGTTACTGTAAATTATCATGGCGAGTTGTCAAATGAAAGCAAGCAACTCCAACAGCTTGAGATAAGGAACTGGAGATTTTATTTCTTTTGTTGAGCAGGTTATTTCACTTCTTATCCATTGCTGCATCAATATATAAGAATGTTCTGTTATTTTCCATTTTATTACATATAATTCTTTCAATATAACACAAAGGGACTTGGAGCATGAGTATTCCGGCCTTGGCAAGTCTGTCTGCCTGCTCATTTCCAAAAATGTCACAGTGGCTCAGAATCAACTGAATGGCAATTCTCTTTCTGTTTTCCTTAGCTCAGGAAGTTTCATTTTACAAGAATGAACCTGGGTATTTGCATTGTAGTTAGATCTGTTAAGTGACAAAATAGCAGCTTGTGAATCAATGAAAAACACACTATTTTGATCTAGGCTATTTTTTAATTTATAATTTGCATAAGTTAACCATCTTTGTAAACATGGAATTACTTGTCTAGAGGGTACATGTAAAGTGTAGTAGCCAGAGCAGCATTTTTTAACTCATTCAGAGTGGAAAGGTGTTTGTTGACATGCCAAACAAGATCCTAGGTATTTTTTCAGTTGATCTAAATTTAAATGGGATTCCACTTTGCGAGAAAACCTGATGATTGGGTGTAGAAATATTGTAAGTATCATAAAGATCATATGCAGTCGAAAGGAAAGATCTGTGAATCTTTAGTTTTACACTTGCTGGTCTGTATTAATTTTTAAAAAAAAATTATTTTCTTAACATTTTTTTCCAACAAGATTCATAGCACTTCTTTGGCACCTTTCATTTAAAGCTCCAAATCTGTCTGCAATCCCTTAGTAGCAATAGGAGTCGATTTAATTCAGTCACAACATGCCGTTTTGGAAAATATCAAGTTTGTTTCTAACAGAATATGAGGAAGTATTAAAAACCTCATTTCCATAGTCAGCTACTAGACTGTACATAAAACATCTGGGTCGAACCCCAAGCAATACTAGTCAGACATTTCAGTAGTTTAGATCTCAAATGTCCTTGATCAATGGTCACATTTATTTGTTTTGTCCAAGATAATTTTGGGTCTAAATGATATCCCAAGTAAACAGTATTATATGTTCTGTTTAGATCTTTATTATTATAATGAAGGTGAATATCATGGTATTTAGTATTAAGGAAAAACAATTAGATGGTAGTTTTGTCAGTATTAACTACCATATTCTTTTCATGAGTATCAAGAAGAATCTTAAGTGTCAAGAAAATTTAAGGCCTTTTGTAACTGTATCTTCAGTTATAAATAGAAGTAAGTTATGAAAATGTTAACAAAGGACTTGTGCATTATCTTATAAAAACAAAACTTAAAATTCTAATTAAATATTTTACAATACATATAATTGTGCATAAAAACATATTAAACTTTAAAGTTAAACAAAATAAATAAGAAAAATTGCTTAAAATAAAATATACATTTAATTATTGTTGTCTTATTAAAAAAAACCATGAAATTCTAATAAAATAGTTTACATTTTACAAAAGCATAAAACATAAATAATTGTGCATGAAAAAATGTTGAACTGTAGAACTTTAGAATTTAAAAAATGAAGAAATCACAAAAATTGCTTAAAATATGAAGAAATTTAATTCAAAAGTTTCCACACATTATTTCTTTCTTTCACATCAGTTGATTTTCAGTTTAGTGTATGATAGTTAAGTCTCATGATGACTTTTAAAAAAGGTTTTTTACTTAGGGTTTAACATTGAATCCACTCAAAGGTTCCCATTTAAGGAGGTTGTCCTTAATTGCAAAATATATTGCACAATCTAAGAAGTTCTTTTTGTGGAAATATTATTTATCAAGTTAAAAGCTTGTTCAGCTTCAGTGCTATTGACCCCTTGGCAATTGCAAGATTAAGCAATTCTTTCATCTCAAGTACATGCGATACGTGCCAGTCCTAGATTTGTAATGGAAGCTGTGTTTGTGCCCACTGCAGTGTGTAAGTGGAATGCGAGCCGAGCTCATTGATTACTATCAAAAGGTTAATAACAGTAGTATCCTTAATGACTTTAATAATGTATTCATTGTTACTTTCTTTGTGCTATTAGGAATTTTGTTTTGTGATTTTTCTGTTGAAGCCATTTTAATGAAATCCAGAAAATTGTTTACTGTTATTTCTAGTTTTAATATGAAATTAAATTGTTTCTGTACTTTTATCTACTTCTGATCATATTGCTTCATCAACATCTATAGTCTCTGAGTACCAAATATTAAATTTTACTTTTCATTTTTCAGTATTTGGTAACTTCACCATTTAAAAATTTAATTTTATAATTATTTTGTTGCAATTTTTGCTAAAGACATCACGATGCTGTTCAGTAGCTTTTCTCAGCAGATTTCATGAAATTTTTTCCTTGTTTTCAATTTTTAATCCTTTATATTCATTTGATTTTTACACAGAATTAATTTGTTTTAAGAAAATGAAATAGATAAGGTGCTCTCAAATTAAATATAAACTTAACAAAGGACTCATGCAGCCATCATGACCTACCTGTAGCTCATCACTAATTATGAGATTTTCAACCATTAATTAATTATTCTGGTCAGGAAAACAACATTTATTAGTTTAAATGTGTTATAAATCACAGTGTTTTCTAGTAACCACTGAGAGTACATATATATATATATAATATAGCAATTTGTAATTTTTAATGGACATTGCTTTTATATCATAAATTTCTTTCAGCTGTAGATAAATTACATAGCTTTATATTTATGGATTTCAATATGAAAAATTTTTTTACTATTAGAAATATTAGCTATAATGCCCTTAGATATTAACTTTTGTGGAAGATTGAATTGTACTTGTTTCATTGCTACCAGAGTAACTTTGTTGTTTGAATTGTGCTTGCTTTCCTTGCTGTGAGGCTAACTTTGATTGTAGTCTGCCTGACTGTTTTATATTTTTGGTGAATGCTACCTTACGTACTGCATGCAATGCTGTGTGTCATTTATATTCAATATGTCTGTTATTTATTCACTTTTTATTGCTTAAATGTTATTTCTTAATATTTAAAATATGTAGTATATTTTTAACCACTACCTTGTTATGATATGGAAAAAAAATGACTTGCTGTTTTATTATGCTTATTATTCTATGAGTGTTCTTAAATATATTATAATAAAACTATAGTAAATAGATTATAACAAAAATATTATAGATAGAGAATAAATATATATAAAATATTCTATGTATGTTCTTAAAAATATTATTTCTTTGATGTAAATGTTTCTGAAACTGTGAGTAAAAAATTATTTTTAAGATTGTTTAGTTTTGTTGCTATGTTTATATCTAATATTTTTTTATTATTTATCATGTGGAAAATAAATGAAATATAAAAACATTGTTGCATCATAAAGTTACTTAATTTTAACGATTTAGTTTAGAATTTCAATAAACAGAAATGTCATTTAGATTTAATTTGCCTACTATTTTAAATTATGGTTGTTATTTATTTATTTATTTACTCTTTTTTTTTTCTTTTAAAATGCATGAGGCCTTTTTAATGTTATTTTCAAGTAAAATCTGCATAAGTTTAAGAATATTCCTACCACTTTTATTTTTTTCTAGTTTTCAGATTTTAAAGCCTATGCAGAATGTGGAACACCACAGGACAACCCTAAATTAGAAAGATCTATATCTTTGTTTAATGGACTCTCACAATGGATTCAGTGGATGGTTTTAAGCAAGCCTTTTCCGCAACAAAGAGCTGATGTTATTGTGAAATTTGTGCATGTTGCTGAGGTATTCATATTAAAAAGCTTCCCATTGCTGTCGTATTTGGATATTAAGATACACTTTATTATCTATGCTTAGATTTATATAAATATTTAGGCATAGTTTGATTTTTTCCAGTATATTTAAAAGAAGCATTTTCTGTTTTAATGCTTTAATTTTAAAAACCATTGGCTGTAAAAAAATTAATATGTAAAGTGCAGTTTTTCAAGTTTTATTGCTTTCTTAAATCAAGTGTGGGAACATGTGTTTAAGAAGACTTATTATATTTTATTTATCTTGTGTTTACTTTTTCATTTCATATGATTGTCCTCTTAAATTGTAATTCTAAAATCAGTTTCTAACTTGGCACTAGTAACCTAGAACATAAAATCTACTTTTTTATGCAATTTTCATGCTGAATTTAGAAATTTATACATTATAATTATTATAACATGGAGTATGCCATTTTATTTTAATAATTATAAAATAAATATTATTTAGTGACTATTTTATTAATCATATTTTTCAAAATGATTGATAGTGGCATTTTTATTTTCTTCTTTTTGTAAAAAAAAATATTATTCATTGAAGTTTCACAAAATACATGCTATCTAAATCTATTTCAAAAAATGGAAAAGGCATCAAATTGGTGTGGAAAAAACATCAAGTTGTAAACTTTGTCATGATGTCAGAATATCCAAATTATTCAACATGTTTATCAAGACATACATTGTGCTATACTTTTAATTTCTTCCTCCTTTAAAAAATCTCTTGTACTGTAAATAGAACTGATAGGATCCTTTTTTATGAAATATAAATGCATCTGATAAAAAAATAGGTTCCTTATAGGTATTTCTTCAGTAAAACAAATGTACGAAATTGTAGTGTGTTATGTCAGGCTGTAAAGAAACTCCTGTTCCTTTCTTAACAAACTCACAAACACTTGTCATCTTCAGTAATTTTCAGTAGCTTGATACATGCATTATCATGTAAATTTGTCTTCATTTATGTTTGTATCACATTTTGTTTCTCTTTTTCAAATGTACAGATCAACGTTAGCGTACACGAAATTTATCATGACTTTCAGTTCTTATTTTGAAACATCAGTTATTTGTTACCTCTCACAGATTTCCAATACCAAACACCACAACTGCTTTTTATGCATTTGGTTCTTTTATTGCATAACAGCAGTGCCAAATGTTCCAAAATGGTCAGTAATTCTCCTGATATCTGATTAGTGAAATATGGTGAATTTCTCATTTCACTTACTAAGTGACATTTTCTGCAGTTTGGTATGTCTTTCCTCCCAATGGTCTTCATACTAGAAATTTATCAGCAAGTATTTTTTATCAGCGGGTCACTTGTTCGCAATAGATGGCATACAATAAAGTGTATTAAATCATCTTATCATTTGATGATGATACTCATCTTTTAAAGGATTAAATATCTATAACTCAAGTATGGCTTAATTGATGGCATTAAATTTTGAACATTAAGTGACTGGGTTATTCCCTTATTATAGTGGTACCCAAGATTGAATCGCTAATAAACTGAGATATCTCGTCAAAATCTTGCCACATGTTCTTATACCTTTCTACATGTTACATCTCAGTGGATTAGTGAATAAATTTTGCAGGCCACCGTGATAAAGAAGTCTAATAACTGAGAGTAATCATAAAATTCTTTTTTCACTTATATTAAAAAATGAGTTATTCTATGGCTCACTGAGTATTTTTAATGAGATACTTCCACTTGAGAAGAAGAGAAATGCTGAATTACATTTTATGAATAATGATCTTGAGAAATGATATTTTTAAGTTTTAGCATAATCTTTATATCAAAAAGTGCAATTATTTAACAAAAGGAAGTTCTTTTGTCCTTTTTCCTTCTTTTTCTGACTTTAAGAGAAAATGTGGCATGTTATTTAAATAAAAAATTTGAGAATGTGCAATTCTGTGATGCTGTTGTTAGTGAAAACAGATCATTGTGTACATAGGAAGAACAGCAAGGGGAAAATGTGAAAAAGGACTTTTTGAAAAAAAAAAAAAAAAAAAAATTTTTTGATCGATGTAAGAGAATTAGGCAGTATTGGATGCATTGTTGAGATAAAGATACCCAAACAAGCATTTCTGTACAAAGTTGCAATAAGTTCACAACTTTTCGGTGAGGGTGTGGTTAATTAGAAAGTACCGATTTTTAAACACCTAATCTCTGAACTTTTTTACACTTTACATCTATGAAGAATAATCAATTTATACTTTAAATCAATTTTTCAAATAATTTTCAAGAATATTTTATTGTAATAAATATACAGTGTTTGTGTTAAAAGTCAGCAATTTTTTTTTTTTTTAATCTGGAGATGTTTCATAAAATAATAACATGTTTCAAGCTAGGGTGAAGTAAATTGCATTTTATTTGCTTCCTTTATCTGTGATAAAGATATAATTTCTTATTTTAGCATAAGTTCTTTTCACAGATATTTCTTGTTTCCTTTTCAGAAACTTTTACAGCAGAATAATTTCAACTCTCTAATGTCTGTTGTTGGAGGACTAAGTCACAGTGCACTTGCTCGATTGATAAATACGATGGCTTGTGTACCTGCAGAAACAAAGAAAACTTTGTCTGACTTAGGAGAACTGCTAGCATCTGCATCCAATTTTAGTAATTACAGACGAGCTCTAATGGAAGCACGAGGTTTCAAGATACCCATCTTGTATGTGCTTGTTCTTTTGAAATTTTTGTTTGCCTTTAATTTTATACTAATTATACTTAGTGGCAAAATTAAAAAATTTAGGAAGTAATTTTCTGCCTAACAAGCAATAAAATTAGCTACTGAGTGCTTAAATAACATTGATAAATTACTTAATAACACTGAAATTCAATTTTAAGAATTAAATTCACTAAACTGAAAATGTTGTAGGAACTGGCTTTGCCAAACTGGTGTGAATCACTTGAATTCCACCACTGGTTATGCCTTTTTTTATCTACAATATGCATAAAAATGATATACACCAAAAAATGTATTATCACTTGTAGTTATCTTGCTTTTGTATTGCATAACTAACTTATGCTAATATATAGGCACATCATATTAATCTGTCTGTTTAATTATCATATTAATTGTGCAGTTCATTCCCAAATAAATTACAAGAAATTACATTTAATTTTTTCCTTTTTTGTTCAAATGTTTAATTCTCAAAAGATGTCAAACTTACTGTTTCATCTTAATTACTAGCAGTTAAAAAAATCATGAATTTCTATGCCGTATGTTTGTAAAAGAGAAGCATATTTATCTGAAAAGTTGTAGGACTGTAAAGAAACATTTAAGCTAATCAGTTTTTGTTCAATTACTTATCTTTTCTAGCTTCTCTCATTTCCATTTTCTGCCAGAATGGTATTTCCGTTTTTACATGTTGTATAAAGTAGGATAGAAAGATACTATTTAATCTGGTGTCTGAGTTACTTAAAGAATAGTGTGTTCTGCCGTTCAGCCACATTGTTTCATTGACATAAGCTTGCAATTTTACATATTAATTACCGGTTTGTGTACGGTGGTGGTAGAGCTATGAGCCAACTCTCATTAATTATCTCTATGAAGCTTCTGCTGATTATTTAGTGTAGTTCTATTCTGAGTTGCAGCCATAAGTATTGGCTAAGTCCAATGGCGTAGCGAGGGAGGGCAAGGGGGTGTATGATGTCCCGGGCGGCGCTCGCAGAGGGACTCCAAATTGTCTCCAAACAAGATTTCTGGAAAATTTCAGTTTTTATTTTGATCCATTTCTGGAAAATATATTTGAAATTAGAAATTATTGTAATATAATTAATTATTTATTTTCTTGATTTGTCTGATAGAATGTGTAATAAAATGTTTGCAGTACATCAACCAAATATCTCCATATACGAAATGTTCTTTCTGACCACTTTATTTCTCTAAAATAGAGATATATTTTTAGTTTTTTTTTTAAAATGAACTGTACATGTAGTTCCCGCTTTTTATTTTAAAATGATAATATGACCTTGTCCCGAATTTCTCAAACATACAGTTTCCAAAAACGATTCCATAGTCTGGAAATGACATTTTGGGAAACTCCTAAGGCTTTCGCTACAATGGATTTCGTTTGACTCTCTTGAAACAACTGATGGCCGTTCTGACTACCAATTCAACTAAGTCATCTTACTGAGACATCGTATATTTACTGCTACAAAGCATTAAACGTGTGTCAGTTATTTTTAATCTCCTACTACAAAAAGAAATGCTGCTGGTCGCTTCTTACTCCTTAACTAAAACGCATAGTTTTCGACATCACAGACTAAATTTACATATTCCCAACTTAGTAAAGGTTATAATTTTCCTGTATAATCTCTTCAATTTCCTTTTGTCAAAACGCTTGTTGATTATATGGTTATTTCATACCAAACTCACAATATCCCCTAAATTGTTTTGAACAGTGAATGTAACTGCAAGATATTACTCTGCTGTAGAAAAGAAACTGAACCTAAAACGCCATTACAGATCTATGGAGAAAATGGTTTTTTCAAACGTAAGAGTCATACTTTAAATACTTCTTACTATTTCATTATCAAATGCTAGCTATGTACATTCGTTCAGTAAATTAATACAAATTTTGACTATTTACAGTCAACGGTGGGACAAGATCCCATAAGTCATGTAGCATTTTTAAATGAGGAAAAAGAAAAATTTGAAATGGTCGACTTTGATGAAGTAATTGATAAATTTGTTTCATATAAGGCAAGAAAAATGTATACGACATAGTAATTAATTGTATTAATTTATTATAATATTATATTATTATTAATAAATATATCTACTTATCTATAATATATATTAAACTTTTAATTATTAAAATTATACTTTTTTAAAAACAATTATACAAATATGTAAATTAAATAATGCCTTTTTAGTTAATTATAGATCATTGTATATCTGATTTTTCAGCCGACACAGGTACATTTCCCAATCCAATGTTAGTGTAGTTAGGTAGTGACTATTCTTAACATATTTTAGAGTATATTATGGCAGATTCAGCATTTTATTATTATTTGCATTATTTTCTTATTACGATTATATTCTATACATTATATTACTGTGTTTTTTTCGGGGGGGGGGACCAAAAAGGTATTTTGCTCCGGGCGCCAGTTAACACCACTGGCTAAGTCTGTAAACACCAGGAGTGCTATGTGAAAATTCCTTCTTGAGTTGAATTATTAAAGGGTCTTTTCTGATATCTTGTCATTGGTGCAGTTTGAACTTAGCAAATAGTCACTTCACAGTTCAAGTAAAGATATAGCCAGCAAAGTAAAGTTAATTTAGCTAGAATCTTACATGGCTACATATTCTTTAAGTACTTTAAGCGGAGGCTATTAGGAGGGAACATTAGTTTGTGCAGATGGCAATTTTTAAAATTTGGTTCAAGTATTTTTAGACTGAAAATAACATTTTCTTATGAAGAAAACAATTTTCTTTCATAACTAACGTAGTTTGCCTTCTTTCACTGGGGCATACTTAAAAGGGGCAGTCCGTACTGGGTGCTACATTTTTGAAGAGAACTATAGGAACTTATAGGAGTTAGTCATGTGGATAGTTAAAGGAGGAGAAAAATAATGAAATTCTAAATTGCTATATGGAAATAAATTGAGGTGAAAAATGGTTTTCAAGCTAGATAAATTACTTAAACAAAGCAGTGTGAGATTTCAGAATTCCATACTTTTGTTATACCTTCTTCATTCCATTGAATGGGAAATACAAATATCAGATAAATTATGGTCATGTGTCATTAATAAAGAAGATTCTTTCGTTAAAAGAAAACTATTTTGGAGTTTTATTTCCATTATTACAAGGAAAAATGAAACGGGGACACTGAAGGACAATCCTTTTGAACTGCATTTTTTTTCTAAAATACGAACTCCAGAACAAAGTTCCAAATATTATAATAATAAATTTTTGGTGTATATGTGGACTTTTCTTAAAATTGCTGTATGTGTTGCTGGCTGTGAAAAGATTTTTCTGAACAAAAAATCATTTATTTAAGCCCTACAAATGGATATATTGTATTGGAGAAATATTTCTATTCTGTCTGCATAATAGCAACTGGAGCAGAGTAGACCTCTACTGTGTCAACAATGGTTTCACAAACAGGAAAACAGACAACATAATAATAGAATTTAAAAATATTATAATTTAAATTTTACTTCAAAAATAAACATGGTTTTAATTAATTTTTCTATATATAATTTTGATATTTTGTAGCTGTTTGCTTGTGCTTTGAGAAAGACAGTAAATATTCTGGCCAACCCCTGCTCTTTCTTAACCCACATATAAACTGCCATGTATAACCTGGCACTGAAAAGAGCTACATGCATGTACTCTCAAAGGACATTATGCTTCCAGATCTTTATATCAAATGTCTAAATTCATGGCAAATGTAGTCACAAATTAAAAATTTAAATTTTATGCATAACAGTGAGCTCTTTTTTATATAATAATGATTAATAATCACTGTATTTAAGAAGTGCCAAACTGTTTCGTTTTTTCTTGTAATTTTCCTCATGAAGTGAAGTTTGTGTTTCCATTTGTATCAGTTGTACAGTGATTCAAAAACAAGTAGAAATTTGTTACTGCTTAAAATGCTTTCAATAAACCTTTCTTTTCATTGATTGAGCAATGAGTATGTTGATTGTTGGAACAACATTTTGTAAGTTGCAAGGCATTTAAATCAGTTCTTTGAAACGAATTCAGAAAAGCGCTTTGAAAAAAATGCAGTAAGTAAGTGACTGAAAGTTGGCTACCATTGAATCATGAAAGTTGATAGTGATCTTACCAAAGTACCACCAATCATTCCCTCAAAATTCTGAAGGAAATGATGCCTCTTTATTTAATAGCCAATCAAACATCACTCTTTATTTACTTATACAGTTGAGAGATCCAAATTACAAATTCAATGTATAAAAATGTATATAAATTGTAATTCAAACTTTTAGTTTTAACTGACGGCAGTTTATTAAAATTTTATTATGAGCTTGCTTTAGAGCACTACAAATGCAGTCTTTCTACAGATAATTTTTCCATTCTATTCCTATTTATCGGCCATATCCATCTATTCTTTTCCGAGTTTGCCAGATATTATTAATTCTTACTACAGTACAAAGTCCATAATCCGGCCTCGTCAGGACTTCGGCGATTAGGGGCTTTTCCGAATTATAGATCATCAATTTAATAAGATGGCATGCAGAAATTATACAATTAAAAATATGAAACCATAATTTATGAAATAAAGAGCAATTATGATTTAAAGGGTATCAAAATTTACAAAAAAAAAAGCTTAATATTTATTTGTTTACTTTATTAAACATTTCTATCAATGTAAGTTGTTTAAGTTGCTTCATTTTTTGTGCTAATACTTTCTCTTTAATTCATAAAACAGACATAATTTCTTGGTCAGTTACAAAGTTCCAATGTTCAAGTCCTGTAATTGCTGTGTCGAGAATACTGACTAACTTGTCAATCAAAATTTTTTCATTTTCAATAACCTCTCTGTCACTTTCTTCACTATCGAAAGCGCGAGGGTAAACACTTTACGCGCATGCGTAGTGCACGCATGCATTAAACACACGTGCATAATTTTAATCGGGCTTTGAGGTCCCGATTAAAGATCATTCTGGATAATGGATGTCCAGATTTTACGGACTTTATACTATACCTAATTTCTTGACAGGACTTTTGGATAGACAGTATTTCAAATGTATCCATGTTGCATGCACACTATACACCTACAGACATACAAGCATTCTCCAGAATCCAAGCTGGTGTTTAGTGATATGGCAGCCAGCATTGGTAACAATTATACCAATCAGAGCGGCATGATTAACAATATTATAAGAATCAAAATAATTTTGAAAAAATCATAGAACCTCCTGATTTTGCTTTTTGTTTTCAAGGTCTGTTAAAAATATATGAAAAATTTTTTGTTAAATTCCTTGGGGAATGTTGTGATTGGAAAGTCAGATGTTGTCAATTAGAATTACATGACAGTAATTTTTGGATATGTTACCAAATGTCATTTTAGAAGACATATAACTGCTGTTATGTAAAAAGAACAAGAATTCTCTTCTCTAAGGAACTTTTTCTGCAAATAATGTTTCATATATGTTTAGGAAATCAAAGAGGGTGATGGTCTATTAATATTGAAATTTTTCATACACTTTAATGTTTAGGTGAAATTGCTAAAGTCTTGCTAATCTCAAACTCGCAGTCTATTTGCAACTTTTGAAGCAATATTATATGGTCTGTGAATGCATTTCAATCATGTATTTGTTGCCTATATAATGCTTATAGTTTTGGAGGCATAAGATATGGGCTATGCTTATGTGTGCGACTGCTATTAAAGGGGGGTGGGAATAAGAAGAAAGACTGGAGCTTTGTCACTGCATATTTGTATGGGTATAAGTTGAAGCAAGGCCATCACCTGTGCATAAACAAAAGTACATCAGGTATTGCCAGGCTTTACTAACTTTTAAGCTCCCCTCCAGTTTGGAAGACACTCTAAAGAGTAGACTATCTTTCCCAGTCCTTTTTGCCTTACCATTAACCACTGGAGAGTACTTTTGCCTCACTATGTATTTTGAGTGCCCTGTTGTTGCACAGGCTTTATTATATTTGCAAGCACCCATGCCTTCTCCACTATTTAAACCTTGGCCAATTCTGTAACAGTAAGCATCATTTAACTGTTAAACTGACTGGGTGGTTGTATGCTGTATGTCAAGCCATGTGACTAGAGCAAGGCGGGAGAATTTCCCACATTCAAAAAATTTAATTTGCTTGCCAACAGCTGCTGTCTCTTCAGTATTCTGAAATTTCATGTTTTCTGGTTAAGATTTAAAATAGTTTATTTAGTATTTAATTCAACATAGTGGAATTACTTGAAATAAATATTTTAACTGTCAGTAGGTTTGGATTTCAAAGTATAACCAAGAGAAATTTCTTGCAGGTACCAACTTTAGACTTTGGTTAGAAGTTAGAATATAAATTTGAATTTTTCTTTGTATTATTTATAAATTTTAATAAATATTCATTTATTAAAATTTAAAGCCTTTTTTTGGGGGGGTTAAAAATATTTTGGCATGTCAGCTGCTTTCAGATCAATCGTTTGTCGTACATGAAATTTGAGTTTGAAATTGCTGGCAGTAATTTCAAAAGTAATTCAATGATTAAAATTTTATATGCATGCTTTGCTTTAATCAGTTAATTTAGTCAAAAGGTGCATTTTTGAGATTTCGTTTATAATTTTTCTTTAAGCAACAAAATCCATGTGTATTCCTATATGTTGTGTGAATATTTTTTATAATAATTAGATAAAGAGAAAAATAGTAACAATGGAGTAGCATATAAAAATGTCATATAAATGAGATAAAATAAATTATTTTCATAGTGACATATTTAGATATATATCTTAATTATACCTTGTTTTATATATTTCATACTCTATATTTATGATATTTGGTGTAAAAATTTTAAAGGGTATAAATTGTTGAAATAGTAATGGAGTTTTTAAATTTGATGATGAAGCATGAAATTTAAGAGAGCCCAAACACCTTTAATAAGTATCAGTTTGAAAAAATTTTAATACATTCACTAGACTGTAATTTGGTGCTTTTATAAATTCGGTATCATACTCTATAACCAAGATTATTAACTGTCCTTAATGATGTATGTCTCTCTTATGATTTCACATTAATTTACTTTTCTTTAATTAGGGGTGTTCACATGAAAGATCTCATATCACTTCATGTAGCATTACCAGATACCCTTGAAGGTGGCATGATTAATTTTCGTAAGGTAGCGCAGCTGTCACTGATATTTCAGGAACTCTGGGAACTTCAAAATTCTGTTCCAAAAGTCGCTGTTAATGCAGATCTAGTCAACACCCTACGGGTTAGTTCATTTAATATTCAGTAGATTTAAAATTAGAATTTCAAAATGATGTTTCCTCAAAATTAAACATTTAAAATGTATTTTACTACAGAATGTATTTTTCTTTTTTTCCTTGCAGTTGTCATTAGATACACCTTACACTGAGGATGAATTATATGAATTATCCTTAGCAAAAGAGCCAAGGGGCTGCTCATCAGTAAGATAGCTTTTAGAGAAAAAATATATTTTTGAATTGCTAAAAGATATATTTTTGAAAATTGTTTATATAATTTTGTCATGATATGTACTGTTAATATACAAGGTGAATCAGAAATATGGCTACATACTAAATCACATTGGGTGATTACAATAATATAAATAGGGGAAGTGAAACAATAACATTAGAAAATCAGGTCTTCAGTCTGAAGAACTATGCACAATAATGTCCACCAGAACTCTCTTAGATGTTGTCCGAATACTTCCAATACTTACTGCTGTTGATGTATCATGCTACTGTGAACCCTTTTAGAAACTTTCAAACCCTTTTTCTGAATGATTCTTGTCTAAGCAGTCAATTTGTGCACTTTCCTGTGGTTAATAACAGCAGAACTGCATTAAAATCATGTTTATCGAGTCTCATGACCTCATTGTCAAGCCTGTTTGCAATCATCTAAGATGCAGTTATAATTTGCTACTGCATGTGTTCTGCACCATCTTAACTAGTGACATGAACACGTGAATGTAATTCTTATTTGCAATGAAAAAATGAAATTTCAAACTTAATATACATTCCCATATTTCTCTGTGGCATGCAGACTTTCTGCAGCACTATATTTACTGAAAATTTGTAAATATTCATTTCTGACTTACCCTTTATGTTAAAAATAATTTATTGATTTGAAAGGTTGTAAATTATTTAGCAGAGGGAAAAATGGAAAGTTAAACAACCAATTATGATTAGGGATGGAAGTTTTAATATTTCGTCATTTTGAATGTAAAAGTCATATTTTTGAAGGAAAAGGCTTAAAGCTATTTTAATCTGAATGTACAGTAAGACTAGAGAATGTACCAATACTATGCACCCAGAGAATGAGTGGTGTAAATTTCACAAACTCATATTTGATGTAGGTAAGGATGGTACCATCAGTTTTATTACTAGTAGGCAAGTAACTTAAGGATAAGACCATGAGCTGTAGTATAACTGATAAAGAGTTTGCAAGTTTGGAAAACAAATTCATGATTTACAGAGGGATAAATAGTATGTGTGACTTTATGACGAAGGAAGTGGAACATTATTTGTTGAGAAAATTTTGTTGAAAAGAAGTAAATTTTGAAAAACAAACAGTGAGAGAGATAAAGATGCAAAAGGAAATATTAAGGAAAAAGGAAATCGAAGAATTAAGATTTGGTTGAGGAGTACACAAGCAGGAAAGTTAATGGTTATCTGCCTAAGGGAAGGGATGATTTGTGAAGAATTTTCTTAATGAAACTGTCTTGTAGTCATGTTATACAGTAAGGAAACTATGAAAACCAACCATGCATCCAGCTCCTTCACCAGGTTTTGAACCTGGTTAAACTACCAATATTCAGCACTCTTAACTGCTCAGTCATTATACAGCTCATCATATGAATTAGTTCTATTTTCTCTCAATACGTTCTGTGTGCTGTAATTCACCTGACAGTAGTATCAGATAAAGTATGTATTAATGTATTATTGTGGCCAAGATGTAGGTTTATCTACATCCAAGATTAGGTTTTATTGTGGCCAAGATGTAGGTTTACCTATCATTGGCTTATGCCTTAAACACCGTATATAGAATGACAGTACAAATGTTTTCAGCTTTGTCCCAGTTTTAAAAAAGAATTTTACTTGGGAATCTCTTCCCTTATCATTAACTTCTATAGAGGACATTTAGTTCTACAGTATTTGAAGTGCCCCCATGCAAGTGACATTTCCATGTCATCTCCAAGATTCAAACACAGACCCAAGGCAGCTGGCTTCTGTACTGCCATGCCAGCTGAGTAGCTCAGTACATTCTGGTTCTGTGCAATCACAGTGCATTATTTGTAAAATTTCATCTAGCACACATGCACAGGATTTTGATTTCTGATGAGAAAATGTACATGTAGTAATCACTTGAAGTGCATTTAGTTTCTCTTGAATTGAAAATAATGCTAAATAAAAGTTGAACTTTATAAATTATTAATATCATCAGACTATTAATTGAACTATAAATTTTGAAACTGGCATTAAGGATTCATATAATAATTTAAATGCTTACATTGTTTTATGATTCAGATCTATGCAACTCTTTTCAGTGCATTCTGTAATGAATTTTGAAAACAATATGTTATTTATGTATATCAAGTGTAGTAGTACAAGGTTTGTTTTCTCTTCAGTTGTTCTCAGAATTACAAGCTTTCTAAATATAAATCATGTAATAAAATCTGTTCTTTGTTATAATGATATAAATTAAATGAAAATTCTATGCAAATTCTTTATGAAAGACCACTGATGTATATTTGTTGCAAAAATCACAAGTGAACTGTGACTGATGAATTTATTATTAATAAATATCACATATTTATCTGAAAGAAAAAAAAACCATTCCATTTTGAAAATTAACTGATTTAGTATATAATCCAGTATAATATAAAGTAGAATTATTATTGATGTTTATCTGAAAAAGCAAATAAAATCTCTCTGTGAGTAAAACTTTTATGTATAGACTCCCCAGACTCTATATCAAAGTGTAGAATTACTTTGAGATAAAACTGTATGTGCTGTTTAATTTACTTTAACTACAAGATACTTGAAGATTAATACAAATGTCTGTCCTCCCCCCTCAGTATTTTTGTTGTAGAGTCACTAGGTTGTTTTTTTTTTTTTTTTTATGCTGGAGACTGGACCTTTTGAATACATCTCGAGTATGCTTCCAGTTACACCATGAAGGCATGTGGAAAAGGAGGAAGAAAATACCTTATATACTACCAAGGGCAACTGGGGATTAGGGGACCCAATCACTAAATTCTAGTGGTGACAAATTATCATCCATCACCTTTTAGTTTGGGTGCAACTATAGAGTCATTATGTATTTTTATACTCAAGACATGAAAATTAGTGAAAAAATTGACTCGTGAACTCAAACCCTGAATCTCTTGAATATTCGTCGAGCATGCTTCCAATTACATCATGAAGGCATGTGGAAAGGAGGGAGAAAATACCTTATATTGTAACTAAAGAACTTGGTTTTAAGTTTTATTAAATGAGTAATTTATCTTCAGTACATGAACTATTCCTTTTATAATGTTTATCATTTGAAAATGTGGGTTGTTTAATTATTGGCTGAGAAAAGGGTCAGAATCTTTCTTAAATTTTATTTATTTATTTATTTATTTTTTTGTTCATTCTGAATTATTTTAAAGCAAGGGAAAAATATTATTTATTCTTGCTCATTTTATCTAAAATTATAATTTTTAGTTCATACCTAATCACAATTTTTTAATACTTTTGTAAATTAGAATTATACAAAGTATTTTATGAATCTAAGATATTGTATTTTTTCATAATTTCTTACTTTTGAATTATTTATATAAAGGTCGTTTAAATAAAAGTGGCATTACAGTTGGTTTGAGAAATGGTTTAATGAAATTAATGTAAAATAGTATATAAAAGAAAGAAATTATACAGATGTAACAGATAGACTAGACAAAGTCACCTTATAGGTTGAAACAAGCGCCCTAGCGGTCAACGAGACAATGGATATCCTGGGTGAAGAAGCTCCGGGGTTGGTTGTGGAACTAATTTTTAACGGCAGCTTGAACCTCATTATCATCGGCAAATCTCTGTCTCTTTAGAGATTTCTTGAATGGATTGAAGATGTGGTAGTCCCATGGTGAGAGGTAAGTCCAGGCTGTAAGGGGGATGTTTGAGAACCTTCCAGCAGAATTGCCATAACAATATTTGGCATGCCATAGCGACATGAGGATGAGCATTATCATGCAAGAGTATAACCCCACGTGACAACATGCCATATTGGCAGTTCTTGATATTCTGTCTCAGTTTCTGCAATGTAACACAGAACATGGCAGCAATGACCGTAGGTAGCCATTCCAACAGTAGTGAGCCATCGGTGCCAAAGAAGCATGTTAACATGACTTTACCAGCTGTAATGGATGTGCAAGCTTTCTTCAGGCATGGGGATGAATAGTGTCACCATTCCATGCTTGTGCTTTTGGTGGCTGGATAAAAGTGATGGCACTATGTTTCATCAGTGACAATGATCCTTGAAAGGAATTGGTTCCCCATTTCATGGTACCGCATGAGGTATTGCATGGAAAAAGACATGCAATGAATCTTCTACTCCTCTGTCAAATGTTTTGCTACTCATTACACACAAACCTTGTGTTATCACAACTTTTCACACAGTAATGCTCATAGACATTACCTCCACTATTTCTCGAGTGGTGATTCGACGATTAATTTTCATGAGACGGTCCATGTTTGCTACTGCTTCTTGGGTGATCACCACATGCGCTTGACTACGTTGTGTCTTGTCATCAGTACTGCTTCTTCCACTATGAAAATCTCTACACCATTGGAATACCGATCTGCATTTCAATACACTCCATGCTATACACATTTTGCATTCGAGGATAGATTTGATAAGCGTTCACATTTTCCACTGTTAAAAATTGCATGACCGCACATTTACATCATTTGAAGGCAACCTTGATGTGAACAATGCCTTTTAACGTGCTCCGACGCTATCACATATGCATCTGGCGGGATCTGATGATATCGCATGCACTCTCAGCCCTCTGTGCTCTTTATGGGGCATATGCGGTCATTTTTCTTTTCAAATGGTGGAGTTATTACAGCAGTGCCACTTTCATTTGAATGACCCTTGTATAAATTTATTTTTTATAGTTTGTAATTGCAGATAAAATTTTAAGTAGAGTTATGTCTTTCAGAATAAATTATGCTTATTGCAGATAATTTATGTACTTGTTTTATTTGTTGTTAATATGAAAATGATTTTGTGTAAACTATACTTCATAAAATTTTACGTCATGTTTATGAAATATTCAGTTGTCTAGAACGTAGCTTTGGTTCTTTTCCATAGATTAGTGATAGTGACATTCAGACAATTTTAATACTATTTGAAATAACATTTTGAGAATGCTTTGTGTGGAAATAATATATCTGGATGCATTTTAAATAGAATTTTAGCTAATTATAAAATGTTTGCTTAGGCATTTTTATTGAAAGATGGAAGCTAAAAATGAACATTTTCATCACATTTTTACTCTTTTGTTTCTTCAAAGGTGAAAGATTTGCTGTTGCACACAGAAAGATGTATGTGTGTGTGATGATGTTTTACTAACAGAACATACAAAGGCAAAATAATTAATTTGTAAAATTCAGTTTTGATGATTTTTCAATTCAATATGTTTCACATTCTAGTAGATCAATGGGGATTGATGATGGCAACATCAAAAGCATTGTAGAAGCTATGACAACATCACTTATAAAAGTCATAAGTTCATCCAAAACAATCACTAATGACCATATAAAAAAGCTCGGTGATGAAAAAACAGTCTTCATATGTGGATCCTGCATGAACTTGAAGAAATTCATTCAACATAATGTAAATGTGTTTTGCTTATGAAGCCTAATCAAAATGAACTATGTCAAAATGATTGATGAAAAGCTGAATGTGTGCAGTAACCCTGAATGCAAAAAAATATGATTAAAGCTGGTCAGTTCAAAATACAGCAGAAGCTTATATTCATCAGAAGAATGTCTTTGTGTCAGTTAGGTGGGATTATAAAGGAATTGCATATTTTGAGCTTTAACAAAAAAACAAAATGAGCAATTCCAATGTGTGCTCTCAATAGTTTACAAAATTGAATGATGCATTGCAAAAGAAATTGTTAAATTGTAAGCGTACTGTGTTCCATCAAGATGATGCCAAATGTTGTCCATCTCTAGTCACTTGTCTGGTAGTTTCTAACTATAAAAATAATTTTAAAAAAATGAATAAAGCTATTGTTGTGTGGTTCCACTTTTTAATTTATTTTCATGTTATGCCAAATTCTTTACAAGATAAAACTTTTATTTCATATAATAGTATCTAATCCCATTTAAAAATGTTTTTGCAGAAAATGATCAGAAGGTCTTTGGAAGAACTGTGAAATTGCAGGGATTGTAAAAAGTTATTGGATAAAATAGCTATTACATTACTGATTGAAATTTCTTCTTTGTGTATATATGTATCTATAGATATATTATATTTCAAATTTTATTTTAATAGGAAAAAAACCGAGTTTCTGAATGACCTTGAAATTTTCTTTTATCTACTATAAGTTATTTTCGTTACTTCATAAAACCTAGTGTATTATAGATAAAATGCATATCATTCATAGTTACTGTTTGAGGCTTGTAACTTTATCATTCCAACGCATATCTCTTTTCAGCCCCAGTCTTCTTCTCCATCTAGACAGATTTCATTTTCAGACTGGGTTGCTGGCATTGGAGGTGCTGTTGATACAGAAACTTTGGAAAAATTTTATCTGTGTATAATCGATGTAAGTCAAATAATTGTTAACTACAAGATTTACATTTGAATTTCTGTTTCCATTGTAAAGTTAGGAAGATAAACAGTTTAATAAGGGCATTGATCTGTTTATTGCTATATTATGAATATAAGATCCTACTAATGTATTTTTAATTAAAATTTAAATGATTTTCATTAATCAGTCTGGAAGTCTAGAATATAGGAAATGTTAATCACTGTTCTGACTCCAATAAGATTAATATTTATTAAAATTTTTTTGGGTATAGAATTACATAAACAGAAAATCATTGTTCTTTTTCTTTTTGAAGGCTTACTGTTGCCACTCTGGCAAAAAGAAAATTGCATGTGAGGAGTTTCACAAAAGGCGCTTTTTTAACATGAATGATATCTCCACAATCAGCTGTTAATTGTTAGCCCAAAGGGCATTAGCCCAGAAGGGCTATTAATTTCGTTTTGGCATTTTGCATTGAAAATTTTAAAAGACTATATCACTTTTCAAATTGTTGCCACTAAATATAATCACTCTGTGGAATATATAAAGAAATTAAATAATGAAGAATTTGCATAAATTTATATATTTTTCTCACATTGTAATGAAACAACGGTACCTTGTTAGAGCGATCAAATTTTGAATAATTTAATCCTCCACCTGAATATGGGCATCTGGAAACCCTAATTTGCAATTTGGAATTTGTTTTATTATTTATTTCATATTTTGTAAAACTTTAATGAATTTTTGATTGACAAAATCAACAATTTCAAAACGAGCAATGGCAGCACTGTATGGGGGGGGGGACATTTTTATCTCCAGCGTGGGAGACTGTGTATCGGAAATTCTAAAGATATGCTCTTTTTAAATTATTTTGTGATATTGCTGTGAATTAAATTTTATGGCTTAAGTGCAAAGAACATGATATTTAATTAATAAAGGTAACAACAAAACGTTAAAAAAAGCCTCTTTGAGCATAATATAAAATCTGAAAACCTTCAGATTTTTTTTCCAAATTATTCTCATTTTATTTTATACGTTTATTCTAAATAATCTATACATATGTAGATGCTGATGCTGAAATTTTTGGTTTTTTAATCACAGTTCGATACCTTTAATTGGGCATAATGTCCCACGTTATTTTTCATCAAAAACGGAAGGTGAAAAACTGCTGAAATTTGAACTGATATGAGTATTGCCAGTATGTGTAAAAAGTAAAGTAATATATGTAAAACTATATAATAAAATTATTCAAAAGGAAAAATAATGAATTGTTCAGTGTTTATTTTAGCCTTTTTGCCGACAAATAAAATGATATACATAAAATAATGTAAATAAATTACTGAAGAGGAATATAGAAAATAGCTGTTTGAGGGATGAAATCCAGATCCTGTTTTCCTCCTGTCATCTTCTTCTTCTTCTTTTTTTTTTTTTTTTAACCTGTGCTGTAAAGCATTCTACAGTTTGATGATTAAATTAAGCTGCTGTTTGATAACATTCCTTTGAATTGCTTGCAAGAATAAGACACAGGACTGCAAATCTCTCTTTTTTTTTTTTTTTTTTCTCTCATTCAAACTCTGTAAAATATAAAGCACGTTGTTGTTACTATGAAGAAGTACTTTGTTGAATTAAAACTACATATTTGTTATGAGCTTTACAAACTGCATCAACCATTTCAAATTTATCAACAATAACAGATTTTAAAATACATATTTCACAAATTTACGATGAAATAACATTGAAACACCACCACTTTTCACAAATTTTGAGTTAAACTTTTAGAAAGTTATCTGGTTTGGTGTTTTTCATCCAAACCAGTTTCTCTCTGAAAGTTATATAATAGATACAATGTAATTATGTAGGTGGATCCCCCCCAAAAAAAATAGGTTACAAGCATCAGCATTTGAAAAGTGATTATTGTGAAGGGAAATGCTTTTTGCCCAGAATGTAAACAAATAGCACTACTTGTCTGGCAGCAGTTGTACAGGTAGTAAGTCCGCTGACACATCAGAGCGATTGAAATGGCAAGCTGCTTAGAAAAGTGGTCTCGCTTGGAGAGGAGAGCTATGATTCATTATCCTGTCTGAGTATCTGGAACGTGGCCATATCTTTACTACCGATTGTTATTCTGCCACTTTGACAAGGTCACATGAAGCCATCCGGCATAGGCACTCTGACATGTTGAGCGAGGTGTCATCTTCTTGTAAGACAATGCCCGGCCCCATACTGGCTGCAAAAGTTTAAATGGGAAGTCTGGAGTCATCTCCCATATAGCCTTGATTTACCATCCAGTGACTATTTCTTTTTTCTGAAATTAAACGAACATTTATCTGGAATGAGATTATCAGACAGTGATGTGAAAGCAGCTACTGAGAACAGACTGAATGGGTAGAAACATGATTTCCCAAGCTGGGTTAAATAAGGTGGTCCTGCATTCAAATAAATGCTTTTAATGGATTAGGTGATTATGTTGAAAAATGATAGGCAAGTATGCCTCTTAATTCCCTTTTGTATTTACTATCTACTATTAATAAATATTTTTTTATTACCCTTGTAACCTTTTTTTTTTCTTTGGATCCACCCTCATGTATGCTAGCATTTTTGGTACTGTTAGAAATGTTACCAACAGCGGCAAAAATGCTAGCGCCAGCAAGCCCCGATGAATGCCAAGTGTTTCCTACATATTCCTGTATTTAATTTTTTGTTCAGTGTTTTTAGGTAGTATAATTTTATAGTATTCATCAGCAAGTAAGAATACCTTCGTAATTGCACTTCTTTTATCAGACTTCTTATGAAAGAAAAAAGGTTTTACTGCAGTAATAACACATATAGTTTTTTTAAGCTACTATTTAGATTCCAACATTTTGTAGTAATAGTGTGTAAAGTAAAGTGTGTAAGTAATAGTGTGTAAAGTGTAAGTATTGCAGGATTATTCTTCTGAAATTTTTAGATTAAAAAAAATGATTTTTTATTCATTTAACATTGAGACTCAGGGATCGTACGGTCCTTAAGAGTCCTTAAGTTTTTTGGAATTGATTTTTCGCCCTTAAAGGTTCTTAATTTCGACCAAATTCGGTAGGAGGTCCTTAATTTTAATCATCTGAATTTTCTGTCTGTTTTTATGACCGTCATTTTGAATGTGAATTAGCATTTTGGACAAATATTTCTGGCGATTCATTGACAAATAGAGTTATCTTTTGAATGGGTGAGTAAGTTCATGGGTTATAATTTGTTCCTATTTCTAATATAAACAATGGGATACTCAAGTTTCTGAGCAAGAAGCGAAACATAAGCATTTCGTAATTATTCCATTTTTTCTAATGAAAAGCTCTTAAACAACTTTTCGCGTTTGGGAATGGGAATTCCTTATTAAACGGTTCCAAATTTGGCGACTTATCAACATTTTGGCAATTTAAAGATCAGTTTCTATAGAAAACATTTAATTCGGAAATCTGAGAATTTTTCGAAGACATTTTTTTCTAAATATTATAACATTGATCAATTTCATTAAAATAATGCTAATATATTGAAATTGTATTCAAGAAATAACATTAAAATTAAGCATTTTTATTTTTTGCTATCATAAGTGATATTGCTTTCGATTTTGGCGACTTATTACACAATATTTTGAATTTCAAAAATAAGCAAGGTAATAAATGCTCTCTGCTTTAACACAATTTATGAAACAATTCTTAGCAAAAGCGAAATAGCTATGTAATTAATTAAAACTGCCTCCGTTGTAATTTTTTCATGGTGAGAGTTTTTCCCATGTAGTTGTCTCAATATGCGTCAGTTTTCTCTATAAAATTAATTTTATACTTTTTCCTCTAATTTTTTAAAAAATATTTCAGCCTTTTTGCTGTTGCAGAATAGGTAGGGGTAATTTTTCCTTAGGATTTTAGATACTGACTTGCAAAGTTTAGAAGGATTTTAAGGCAAGATTTACAGATTCACAATTCTAGAAGATTCTAGACAAATGTCTTCATGGGAAATGCTTTTTGCCCAGAATGTAAACAAATAGCACTACTTGTCTGGCAGCAGTTGTGCAGGTAGTAAGTCCGCTGACACGTCAGAGCGATTGAAATGGCAAGCTGCTTAGAAAAGTGGTCTCGCTTGGAGAGGAGAGCTATGATTCATTATCCTGTCTGAGTATCTGGAACGTGGCCATATCTTTACTACCGATTGTTATTCTGCCACTTTGACAAGGTCACATGAAGCCATCCGGCATAGGCACTCTGATATGTTGAGCGAGGTGTCATCTTCTTGTAAGACAATGCCCGGCCCCATACTGGCTGCAAAAGTTTAAATGGGAAGTCTGGAGTCATCTCCCATATAGCCTTGATTTACCATCCAGTGACTATTTCTTTTTTCTGAAATTAAACGAACATTTATCTGGAATGAGATTATCAGACAGTGATGTGAAAGCAGCTACTGAGAACAGACTGAATGGGCAGAAACATGATTTCCCAAGCTGGGTTAAATAAGGTGGTCCTGCATTCAAATAAATGCTTTTAATGGATTAGGTGATTATGTTGAAAAATGATAGGCAAGTATGCCTCTTAATTCCCTTTTGTATTTACTATCTACTATTAATAAATATTTAATAATTATTAATAAATCTTAATAATATTAACACATAATGGATGTATTTTACAGAAAGTTTGTTGTAAACTTTAACTTTTTGGAGAATTTTCTAAAAAACAATGAAAACATAATATTTAAATGTTTTATTTCTGTTACAGAAGTCTTTTTTTTCTTATTATATTTATCTTCCCATTGTATTCTCTACTTTTCACTAGATACAAGCATGGAAAATATCAAAAATGCTTCTAATCTTATGACATGGACAGGCATTCATAAAAAGGAATTTATTTATTAATTAAGAAATTGAAAACTGACACTTCAAAAGATTAATCATATGTCTCAATGCATCATCAGTGGCGTAATTAGGCTGGGGCAAGGGGGGGGGAATGTGTTTTCAGGCTACTTACTACCCTAGCTACTTACTGCTTTTGTATCATACACAGGGCTGGCACTACGCATTTTCCCACCTGATGCAATCTCTAAGGATCCTAAATTCTAAAATTTTGCCATTTCTTGATTTTGTTGTTCAGTGTGTCACTAAATTCTAAAAATTCTGTTACATCGGCTCTGTAACTGGCCCTTATTGTATATCATTTCATATTTATTCTGAATGTTCACATTACTAAAATAAAATTAGCACCTTTTTCTATAAAATCTACGTGCATTTATTTATTTATTTTTTAGAATAACAGAAATCTTTAATCAAATCCAAAAGTTCTAAAAGGAAGAGGAAACTTATTGAAAAAAGGTACTGAATACATAAAGAGAAAGAAAATTATTCTTCAAAGATATGTACAGTTATTATTATTATGTAAATTAAGCAGTTTGTTTATAATTTCACTCTTTGCTATAATTTTCCCTTTCTGTTTTCTCACCAGAATGAAAATCACCTAGATAGTTTTTAAACTAAGGTTTTGGAGTTGCAAGACAGAATTCGTTTTTGACCATCGCTTGCACCGTGCATTAGTTCCTATCAGCTCTGATATTTTTAATTATTCATCTTTGCGTTATTGCTGCCGATATTTGAATTTGTAATGCGATAACTAGGTGACGACGAGTTATGAGTTTGTTAAGGGCATGTTACTGAGCCAGCTTAGATCAAAATTAAATTGTGTGGTCTTTGACCGCTAGTCCGCATTTTTAGTTTGAATTTGGCTGTTACTGTTTAATTGGATCACCATAAGCTGTAGTTGATTTTGCTAGCATAAGAACATGCCATTATATTCTAAAGGTCGTTTTAAAAAAGAGGTAGCTTTTCTTTAAATCTTTATCCGACTTTATAGTTACCTTTAGACATAGCAATAATTTGCTTCATTCCTATCAGGGGTTTTGGACTATTTAACGTTTACCAGATCAAGTAAAACCTCGTAGGTACTTTATCGAGAGATTGTTAAGTTAGGAGATAAAACACGCATAAACTAGTGGGAATATCGGTTTGCATATTGAAAGAAATTTCTTAAAGAAGATGCTTAAAGAGAATGAATTGGTATAATAGCAGAATGTCTGGAAAGGCTTCAATTTAAAAAGATGCACAAATATTTTGCTGAGTACTGTTGCTACAAAACATAAATGTTTTTTAGCTTTAAATTTGTAGTTATCTTAATATCGTTTAAGAATCAATGTCATAAATAACATGTATTTTAAACTGTGACATGTTAATCGATTGTGATTTTAATAGTGCCTCTTAACAAATATTTTCAAAAAATAGTTTTAATAGTAGCCATATTCCATGTAAATTTAAAATGACTAAGTACCCTTATCCAACTAGCTAATTTAATTATTTATAACTAATTGGTCACAATTAAAAGTTATCTGTGCATATTAAAGTGAGTGCATATAAAGTAAGTTGCCTTTCATTAATCTCTACCATGGTCACAGCCCAAAAATGTAAAAACTAACGTGAAACTTAATTCTTTGCATCTAGTGAGACTTAAATTTAATACAAAACAGCTTATTACCTCTGATGCTTTAGTGGCTTATCGGAACCTTAAAATATATTAACTAGGTTACAACCCCAGGAACTCGAGAAGTTATGACACAAACTGCATCAGACAAGCCAAACTTTCAAAACTTGGCAAGCGTGCCTACATAAGGCTTTCAGGTTTGTTCTGTCAGCAGGCAAGCTCTCTGTAGGCAAGCATTAGCAGTGGCAATAGCCAGTCTTCTGTAACGAGTCAGTCTGATTATGATTTTGCTTCTCATTTTAACCTATGCCGTTTGACATAAAATCTACCTGCTATTTAATAAACCTCTGAACTGTACGCGGAGCAAGTATGCGACAAAATGAGACATAAAAGAAAACTATCAATATAAAGCTAAATTAGTAAAACATAAATAAAATATCACTAATCTTCTTTCAAATATGTCCAACTGTTATAAAGTATTTAATGCTACCTGATAAATTTTATAAAGTTGATTTAATTCACAAATTTGTTTTATAATTATGTTTAATAAATTATGTTTAATAATAATGCATTCTGCTTGTAGATCTATTTTATTCTTAGGATGGTATCGCAAAAGTGAAGTTCAGGCATAGCTAATATCTTTAATTGAATTTATTCAGTTCCCATTTGTTGATGGGTCCTTAATTTTTGACATTAATGGTCCTTAAAAGTACCGTATATACGGGCGTATAAGTCGACCCCCCCTTCGACATAAAAAATTTGTAGAAAATAAGAAACCCGCGTATGAGTCGACCCCCCACTTCCAAAATCGATCCAGAAACTTCGAAATTTTTTTTTAAGTACTACATTTATTCAAAATCATATGAGAAAATAAAAGTAAATATACGATAAAAAAATACCTTGGTAAATAAACAAAATCAAAATCCTTCTTCTAGAATTTGTTCCGGAAATTCTAGAATTCTAGAATTGTTTCGGAAAAGATTGTGTACGTAAAATCTATCTGCATTTCCCCTTTAAAGTTAAAAGAAATATTCAAAACTGTTCAGTTATTGCGTGGGCTATTTTTTTAAATTTTGACGTGTACGCCTGTTAACAATGAATGAAATTATGATTTTGACAAAGATGGATTCCTTTCTGTCGAGGAATTTGATGCAGTGTATATGAACTTTCCAAATATTGACACGAGGTTTCTGTTATTGACTTTGATAAGTAAGTTTAATCTGCATGATTTATTTTGATATGTATGAAGTATGAAACTCTGTGATTAGTTCGTCACATAATTTAAGTCATGAAATTACTTCAAGTAAGTGACTTTTTGATAAGTCGTCCAATTTGAGTGCGGGAAGAAAACAACTGCATTATATAAAGAAATTTTTGAACTTCTGATTCTTTTAATTTTTTATGGCCCCGCGTATAAGTCGACCCCCCCACACTTTAAAGTCTTTTTTTGTCCAAAATATCTCGACTTATACGCAGGTATATATGGTTCTTCATTTACATGTGCAGAAATGCTTCTTTTTCAGGTGATTATAAAGAATTATGATTTTGACAAAGATGGATTCCTTTCTGTCGAGGAATTCGATGCAGTGTATATGAACTTTCCAAATATTGACACATTTTCTGTTATTGACTTTGATAAGTAAGTTTAATCTGCATGATTTATTTTGATTTGTATGAATTGTAATATGATACTAGGTAAAGAATTAATCAGAATTTTTGATTTATAATGTTGAAAATTTGGTTTTAAAATTTCTTAAAATGAAGTAATAGCATATAAATAACATGAAAGCTCGTAAAATTTTATTACATGCTTTAAAAGAAAAGTAACAGTGCAAAATACAAAGGGCATTCAATAAGCCTACGTATGATATAATATTTGTGAGCTGATGAAGTGTATTGAAATGATTGCATCATCTTTGGAAATATAAAATGGGAAGCACACGAAGCAGAGGATATATAAATGTTAATTTAGGTATATTTAAGTGTTCTCAGTCAGTGATATCTGGTAGTATTTAAAATATTGTTTAATGTTTGGTGAATGAATTCTTGAATTCTTGATAAAAGAAAGTGTAGCATTTGCAAAAATTCATGGATACATGATTCTGGTTTGTGGTGATACAATATTTTCTATACCATGGTCAAGAGAGAAGCTAGCATGTTAAACAAGGTGGAATGTTACTCATTAATGATCCTAGTTTAGGCAACAATGTGGCTGCGATTACTGAAGCAATGTGTACTAAGAATGAAGAATATGTAGCAGAAGATAGATGAGTATTGGTTTATCAGATTACTACAGAAATGGACATTATTGATGGATCTGAGGAAACAATCTTTTATGTGAAGCATGAGATGCTAGACTAGTTGGATGCGAAAACGTTGATTCTTGAAATGATCAACTACTCTCAAGAATTATCTATGGCAAATTCTAATGAAATTTCTTATTCACGGCTATTGATAAGAGATGAAATATTGTTCCACAAATGTGACATGAAATGCCTATGTAAAATAAATAAATAAATAAATAAAAAGTTACTGAATGACCCTCGTAGGTGAAGAAACAGTAAATTATTTATAGTCAGTGTTATGCATGTTGCTTGAAGAAAGAGCAGACTGCATCTTTCAGTTTTATGCATTGATATTAAAAGCTGTGTTACCCCTTTTCATTATTTAAAGCTAATTAGATGGGGGTTCATATGCCTCGTAAATAATTTTTGCATTATAAGATTAATAACTTATACTGTATACCGAACCGAAGAAACGTGAAGATTTATAGATGAAGAAGGAATAAAAAATTCATATGTAATATATTGTTGTAGACATAGAGGTTAATTTCTAGGATAGTGAAATTTTTCAGGAACTTAAAATAAGTGGTTTCATTTTACTTTGAAATACACTCTTATGTACCAAAACTGTATCTTTCGTACTAAAACTACTGTCCTTACACATTAAAGCTTTATTCAAATTAAGTTATTCTTCAGTAGTTTATCTGAAACTTTAGTCAGTCACTGTTTTTTAAAATAAATAAAATGTAGCTTACACAAGTTTTGGAAACTGAATTTTGCATTTGATATTATTAAGAAATTTAAAATTCCACTATCGATCTTATATTTTGTAATAATTTTTCCCTTCAGTATATATCTAAATTTTTTCAACATTAATTGTAAATTTAAAAAATGTATTTTTGCATTAATTTGTTAAAAGTTACTCTCAGGTGCACCAATTAAGAAAAGTCTAGATCCCTTGGCATATTGTTATTTCATGGACACATAGTATCCTTTTTCTTTGTTTATGTGATAAAAAAGCTGGGTTATGAGGCATTTCAAAATAATATAGGGACCCTAGGGACTTAAGCTTTGTGGGATCAGGCTCTGGGTACTCCTTCGTAAAGGATTTTGAATTCACCTTTATGTTTACTGTATTTCACTATACACAAGTGACTTAAGAATGCTTGTAATTTTATGAAAATTTATAGTATTTGAATATTTATCTAAAATAGGTTTTCTACATTAAAATGCAAATGTAAAATCTAACATATGTTTGCTATATGTTTCTCTTGCATATAAAAATGTGATCTTATTGTTTGTATTTATTTCAACTAAGGGGAAACTAATAAAAATAAATAAAACAAAAGAAAAGAAAAGAAGGAAGAAAGGAAATGCTTAAATTGTATGTTTGATTATTACAAGATGAGTCTATAATAGAATGTACACAATCTCGAATTTTATCTCAGCACAATTAATGCATTTAAAATATTCCTAAAGAAATATTTTTACATATTTTTGAAAGTAACTAGTTGCAATTTTAGATTCTGTTCCAATGATATATTATTTCATTAGAAACGCTTTTTTAGAGACAAATATTTAATGTACATTTTGATGATATTTTGTGCCCTCTTTTGTACTCCAATATTACTTGTTTAGAAGTGAGAATAATTTAAATTGATATTTGATTTAATTACTTATCAAGTTTAGTAATTATTTAACTGGTATTAATGTAACAATAATATGCCTTATAAAATACTACATTAGTTTTTAAATATTCAAGAAAAGTAAATTTAATTTTCTTCATCAATGTGAAAAACAGATGCTTGTTAGCATTTTCTGTATTTATTATTATAATCATGTTTTCTATGTCTTATTTATTGAATTCCCTTCTACACTAAAAAATCTTATGTCTCCACTTTAATTACAGTCTAAAATTATATGATTTTTTTTTTCATGTATTAGGTGACATTATTCAGATATGGATTTTTTGAATTTTTCATGCTCACCTGATCACATTCAGATTGATCATAAAAACATCAAACACATTCTGATTTTAAGAATTTAATCATATTTCCTCAGGCTCATAAAATTCTATTTCTATTTTTTTTTTTTTTTTTTTGTTTTTTTTTTTTTTGTTTGTTTGTTTGTTTCAAAGGTCCAAAAAGCTGCCAAGTGTGCATCAGTGCACTTGTATAAATATGTCTTCAATTTCACTTCAAAAACCTCATGTGCTAGCTTTGTACTAGCATTAGTACAATGCTATGACTTCCCAGTCTGACTGCAAATATGGAATTTGATTGTTTAGATATGTTACCACAGTCCCGATGATGATGGGAGTAAAACAACTACCTCTACTGATGATGGGCCTCTTACATAGAACACTGGTTATTTCATTCTAAACTTGGTATTTGGTAGTGCAAATTAGCTATATGTTTATTTGCAATATACAAACAGTTTTCCTTCGAAAATTACCCATGAAATCACTGTTCTCTATAAATATTTCTTGCATACATGAATAGAGTCATTAGGCTATCTGAGTGCAGGTATGTGAAAAACATGCAGTGCTCATGCCATGGTTTGAACTCTGGATCTCCCAGATGTTCTCAAATGTTTCAAATGTGCTTCCAGTAACACCACAAAGGCACATGGAAAGGAGGGAGAAAATACAGAAAATACATTATATATCCATACTAATTCACTGGCCGTATGAAATCATTATTTTGAAATACAAACCCTTTTATTGTATTGCAGTTCAAAACTGAAAATACATATTATTTACTTTTCATCCATACTGTTTGTTATTTTAGTTAACAGATTTTCTTTAATCTATTGAAAATGAAAATTTTCAAAAAGAAAGTCTTGAAAATAAAGATTTCCTATTCACTTAGGTTCATTCTGATTCCTCAAAATCGATAAGAGTTTTGATTAAAGTATATACCAAACAGAAGCTTATTGCTCTACCCAATTTTATGTTTTACTTTAGTATGTTCCTCTTCTGTCTCTATATATTAAGTTATTATGTGCTCTTCTATCCTCTGTGTGTGTGTTTGATCAAATACAGGGTAATTCTAAAATATCTAGCAGAAATATAAAGGCAGGTAGAGGAAACCAAAATAAGCAAATTTTGCAGTTTAATGTGTGCCTATCATGTGTGTAGGCTGATTTGTAAGGAAATATGTCCATTAAATATGTAAGAAAGACATGTATCTAAATCATCTAGCAGAAATTTAAAGGCAAATCAAAATAAGCAAATTTTGCAATGTAATATATTTACCTAGCCTGTGTATATGCTGGTAAGGCATTTTAGCCAGTAAATAAGCAAGAGAGAGGAAAAAAAAGTCAAAGAAAAATATGTCAAAAGAAAGAAACATTTTAATGATTCAGCATTTTACTTTGGGTGCTTGAAAGTGGAACCACCAACAGTAATACATGATTCATTCTCAACAGGGCCCACTAGCGGCTGAGCAGTAAAGACGCTGAGCACTGGTTGTTCGGTCCGAGGTTCAAATCCCGTGAATGGGCTGGCTTCATGGGCGTTTTCATGGTTTTCCTCATGTGTAATGTGTATACGAGCCAGTTTCCCTTAGTTAGTGCCTAAGCCATCCCTCCCTTTAAGCAGATAGCCCTTGTGTTCTTTGCCATAATTAAGTAATCCAATCCAATTCATTCTCAACAGTGTTTAATTAATTTGCTTGAACGTTTTGGCAATTTGGCAGTTATTAAGAGGCAGTCTTGGGAATCATTCTCTGAACATCCCATGGCCACCTGCTCCATTTCCATATATAGCTACAGAAATAAAATGCACTGATGATTTATGCCTGCAGATTGATTTCATATAACCCTCTGACATCTCAACAGGCCATTTCTGCATCTACATTTCCTTAAAAATCTGCTTATTTCAATCACATCCATCTGCCTTTACATATTCGCGAGATAATTTAGCAATCACCCAGTATTAGAATCCCCCAGTATTAGACCTGTGATGAATAAAATAAATAGGATAATTAATTCAAAGGAGAAAATACATTATTAATCAGTTGTTTGATTCATTTGATATACTTTTGTTAATTGCATTGCTACTTAAAATTCTATACTATTTGTTCTTAAATATTATGTAATTTTGTATGAAATACTTTGATATTAAAATTTTTCCTTATTTTTCAGAGATGGTATGATAAGTAAAACAGATTTGAAAGCTTATTTTCTCACCTATAATTGTAAAGCTGTCAGAGTTGCATTCCAACATGATTTTAGTGAAACAACTTATTTTAAGCCTACATTTTGTGGTCATTGTGCAGGTTTGGTATGTATAAAATTATGACAATTTTATCTTTGAAGAGCTTAATATTGTATGAATAAATCACTTTTTAGTTAATTTATTTTAATTTTACAATTAAATTATATGTATGATGCTGACAAAATTAGGCATGATGCAGTCTCGTAAACTGCAGCATAATGAATTATTTAAAATAAGAACAATATTTTCAATAAGGTACTGCTTAACTTTTTTATAATAGTAGATATTAAAAGTGATTGTGGTATCTCTTGGAGTGTATAACATTTTTATTTTAGCTAATTAGCATTTTTCAGTGCCTATTTAAAAAAATCAATTTTTGGAAATTATTGTTTGCTTTTTAGCATTTTGCTTTTGCATTTGTTTTGCCACTGTATTTTCTATGTTAATATTTGGCACTTATTCTAAAAACAATATTATCATTGGTTATTATTTTATCATAATTTTTGATTTTATGCACATTTGCAATGCTTTAGGAAATATTTTTTCTGATTTTGGCTTTTGTAATTGACTAACTTATCAGTTATTTCAACAATGCTATTTATTTGGTACTCCAGGTTACTATACATTTTTGAAATTTAAAACTTTTTTCATTAAAATTCCCTTTAAAATTCTACATTTTGCTTCAAATTTGCTTTTGTTTTTCTGCAAATAATTACTCGTAACTATTTAATTTTTTTTAATGTAAAATGCATATTTCTTTTAAGTTGCGAAAGGGCAGCTTATATCTTGATGGGTGCATTTAAAAAAACATTCTTTCAATTTTTGTTTTTAATTTTAAAGTTCGAATTTAAAAGATTAATTAGTTTTCATTTGATTAATTATTTTTGCAATTCATTCAGATATAATTCAGAAGTGTTACTTTGTTGAAATTTCTTTTGATTGTTTCTTGAAAATCAGCAAAGAACTGACTATTAAGATTGACCAAAGGATTACTGCAGCATTATTCATGGCAATAATAGTATCTAACTAAATATCCTTCAAGTCTTGATCTTCATGTATCTGTAAAATGTAAGTAAGGAAATAATTATACCAAAGTAGTTGAAACGAGTTTTATACCTCAAAAAACAAGCTGAAAAGAAAGAAATTAGAAAGAAAAAGAAAGCTTAAGTTAAAAAACAATTAAATTGGTGTTCTTCCTTACAGGAAACCCATAATGAACGAAAAAAAAATGCCTTCTCTGTATGTAAAAGGGAGAAATTTTTTAAAAAGTAAAAACAACATAACTGACCTTTAATAAAAGAAAAATTAAGATGTTAAAAAATAGTTGAATAGGATTTTTTACACCAATTACCTTCCTAAAATCAAAGACTAACAATAGAAATTAATTTGCTTTTGCTACTATGTACAGGCAGCAGAAATAAAAGCCAATCAAATCAAATTAACCAACCAAGTTCATGATTTCAGCATAGGCAATTCAAACATAAATTTCATTTTGATAAAAGGCACTCCAAAATAATAAAATGCTAGAAAACGTACAACTCATAGAGACAGAACATAAATCTGTACCATGTCAGAGCAGCTCAGTCTTAGATAATAGCATTTCTTACTGCAATTGTTATATTCCTCTTTTTAAATTATTCATATTTTTTATTTTGTTGATTAAAATGTATAGAATATATTTTTATGCTCAAAGAAGATAGACTTTGCACCTGTGTCCTTTGAAATGTTCAGAATTTTCATATGAAGTCATTGTTAATCTGAGATTAAATATTTATTAGTTATTGTTTTGAAAATAATACCTATTAAACCATAATTCTTATGGCTTGCCAGATAGTGATCCATTTTTAAATAAAAGAATCTATATACATTAGGAACCAGTATTGACTCAATTCATTTAAAAAATTGAGTTTTTTATTCAGAATTATCATTAATAACTGTATGTTATAAAATTTTGAAGATATAGTTTTTATGAGTTCATATAAGTAAAATTATCAGTGCTTTTATCAAATATTTTATTATATTTATTTACTTCACAGCTTTGGGGTATAATAAAGCAAGGATTTAAATGCCGAGGTAAGTTTCTTGTTAATTGGGTTAAATTCGTTATTTTATTTTGTATAATACTGAAATTTGATAACACAAATGTGTATTTGAAATCTGACTAAAGTCTCTAAATTTTACATAAATTTGCACTGTTTTAGTGAGCTGTTAAAATGTTGGATTAATCAGAAATGTTTAAGGTTAAAATAAGCAGTGTTACTGTACTGCACCAATTCTCATTTTTATAAATCTGTATAGAATTTTTTTGCTTTTAAAAGGCATTTAAATGTAAACCTGAAAGTAATATCTAAATAGAAAAATGAAAATTAAGTTATTTTGTTAAATGTAATTATGAAACCATATGCAAACTTTAAAAGAATTTGAAATAAAATAAATCCTCTCTAGGTTCCAAATAAAATGTTTTCAGATTAAATACATTGATATAACAATAAAAATAAATCAAACATGTTGATATATCTAAAGTATTAACTTTAAAAAAGATTTAAGATAGTATTTTTAAAAATTTGTTTAGGAAATATTTCATTCATAGTAAATTTTTTTGCATTATTTACCTTTTATTGTAGCTCATTAAGTAGATAGGGATTAAATATTAAAACAAAATTATCCATAAATTTGCTGAGCTAAATATTGGTAGAAAATAGTTCACAAACATTAAGGCCACGATCAAATATGGAAATATTTTGATTGTTTCCAGCAGTGACAGATGAGATGAAAATGCAGTTTGAACTATTCCAGACTTGAAAAAATAGTGATTACCATTATGCAATGTGCAGTCTTCCAAAAAACCTGTTTATGAATTCATTGAAGAAAAATGCTGTTAGAGATAAGTGAAACATTTGTTAATGAAGTTACTGTAAGTTTACTAGTAATGTGAAGATTAAGTTTAATATATAATATTTTAGTGAGTTTTAAATTCTATTATTCTATTATTAAATTCTATTATTCTATTATGAGCTGAGAAATTGGGAGATGCAGAAAAATTTTCAAAGTTCCTTTAATGAAAAGAAATTAGCCTGCATTTGAAAACCACTAGATTAAGAGATGTTGCAAATGATGACATTTCTGCTATAATTATATAATGAAATAAATTATGATATAATTTTTAATTAAATGTATGCTAAATGAATACGCTAATATTATGGTATAGAAAAGGGGGGAACCCACTGGTATTTCATATTAAAAAACTGGAGAAAACATTAAAGAAACAAGCATTAACATAATTAGCACAAGAAAGATTTGAATAACTCATTCAGTGGGTAATAATACATCATTGTTAATAACCTGTATTAATTCCAAGTACTTTAACAAATTTTTTACAATAGCATTAAAAAATCCCTTATCTGATTATATGTTGTCTTCTTCCAAAAATAATTTCCCAGTCTTATTTGGTTATTAAAGAGCAAGATAGCTGCAGTATGTAACATATTTTAATTTGAGTTGAAAATTGATTTAGAGGATAAAAATTAGATTATGTGCAAATGAAGAATAGTTTTATAGAGTTCATAAGCTTTATCAGCAAGTGCTTCAAAGATTTGTGTTGAAATTCTTAAATAAATAATATAAATGAAATTATTGTTCAATAAAATCTCCCCTCCCCATCTTGACACATTTTGGGGTTAAGGACAGTTATTTTATTTTTATTAGAGGATTACCAATGTGTTCAAAATATTCATTTATGGCAAAAAAAAAAATTACAAAAGTTTGTTTATAAATAATAATAAATGACATTTACAAAAGGTGATTAAAAAATTTGTGGATTTTTTCAATTATATTGCCTTTTTTTAGTATGATTAACTCATTAAGACACAGTCTGTTTTTCATCTCAACAACTTGTTTGGCTTTGTTTAAATGCATCTTCATACGTAAATAGAATTCAGTAATAAGAGTTGACCATTTCCCAATCTTCTATCTGATTTGACTTTGATTTGAGTAAACGTTTTAATATTCAAAAACTAAAATTACACGACTGCATGAAGATTCCATTTTTTTTCCTGTGTGTACAAATTGTTGAATGCATGTTCATTTGTAGATATGCAAAGCAAATTAACCAACTTACTGCAATTTATTTTAAATTTGCTCATTTGAATTGAAAGAAAGGGTGAGAAAAAAGAGAATTTTATCGATATGCTGCTGATTATGAGATAATTAAGGACAGATAAAGAAGAAGAAGAAAATTAGTGTAGGTAAAAATGCTTCTAAGTATTGTATTTTTGAAGTAGCATAACGATAATAGCATAACGTTTTGAAAAAAGCAAATGGCAGTAGTACCTCAGTATATTTCTACTCTGAAATATGTTCGACTTGGTATGCATCCTATATGGACATTAAAAATTTTGTTTGCTATACAGCATTTGTTTGGAATATGACAATGAGTCACAATTGCTTGCACTATATGTGTTCATCTCTTTTGAGACAATGCTATGACTATTCATGAATGTCACTACACCTTTTACTACTCTTAAAACATCCTGCATATAACTCTGAATTTTAAAGTGATTTTGTGTTTTTACATGCAAGTGTTTTGTAAATTCTTAAATAATTATTTGTAGGGAAGTTAATGGCAAAATAAAGCAATGAAGAAAATCGTTATGATCACCATGGAGGTGAGAAAAGAGATTGTTGAAAATATGATGATGACATGCATATTCGGGATTTGGCTACCATATGCCAAGTACAATGGTGTCTATGATTTTGAAAACTAAAACTGCTATTAAGTCGGTTAATTTTCCAAAGGAGATGAAATCAAATACCAAACAAAGATCAGAGACATCAGAGCATGTTAAAAAATTCCTTTTGATCTAGATTCCAGAAAAACATTTATATGTAGTATATCAAGTATATATAAAATATATATCAAGTGCAGTGCTTCATTTTTATACAGTATATATTTCACCTACTACGTTTGCATTTTAGTATTAAACAGTATTATAATAATAATAACAAGACCTTTTTTATAACAGTGGTTAATTATTTTCCTTTTATTCCCCAATGAAAAAGTTATTTTGCTTTATGTCTAAGGATCTCTAATAGATTAATGACATATACTGAGGTACTACTGTAAAACATTTTGAAGGAAAGTCATAATTTACACATGATTTGGAAATGGTTGGAATCTTGGAGAGAGTACATATGTATTTTTAAGTGTATAGTGTCTTTGTGGCATGATGGAGGTACTTAAATTGCTGTTGAGCTCAAAGTTTTCTCAAGAGGTTGGTAAACGGGAAGAGTACTTGGATATTCTCAGATCTATTTTTCCCCAGAGGATTCCTTTCTAAAATTGGGACTGAGTTGAACAAATTCAACTATTAGGTGCTCAAAACTAAAGCCGACAGCAGATGGACCCTTGATTTTACGCCATGATAAAATTTGTGAACTTGATATTGTTTGATGTGATGTTACTGTCAGATAACTGAGGTAAGTCATATCAACAATATTTGTTTATAGCAAATGAAATAAAAATCATACTTTATTAAGCGTTTAAAAAAATTAGTTTTCATCAAAAGTTTGCTGGTACCAATTTGAGAAAAGACATTTATTTTCTTCAAAATGTATTAAAAAAATTAAAGTGAATAAGGATTAATATACCATTAAAAAGAATTTAAAATTTGTTATGACTTGAAAGATGTATGTTAGAGACAGGTTTACTATAAATTAGGTTAGTTAACTTTTTAATTCAGTATTTAATAAAGAATATGCTTTAACACTTCTCAGTGATGATTACTTTATAAAGTGGCCTGTACATATGAGAATATGAAGAAACAATGATTGGATTACTTGATTATTACAAAACACATGAGGACTATCTATCTAGTGGAGAAATGCCTTCACAGAGAACTTTCTAAGTGAAATTTGCTCATATTCATATTGCACATGCTGAAAATCATGAAAATTACCCCACAGTAAGCACGCTATCAGGACATGAACCTGGACTGAACTGCCAATGATCTCGCCACTTAGCCAATGGTGGACCAGAAACAGTGGTAATGAACGTCACTGACTGTCATATTTTCAAAGGTGACTACATCCAGAGAAGCCTAAAACCATTTTGAACTTTAGTTGTCTTGGGGAAGTTTTGCTGTATTTCCATATTTAAGATAAAATATTAGCATAATTTGAGTAGGTAGAAGAATGGGCTTATGGAGACTGAGCATAGAGTTTTTTGCAATCCTCCATTTTATTATATATATTTTTTAGTTTGACAAGGAATTATGATAAAAAATGTTTTATGTTTTTCAAAATTTGTTTTTTATTTTTAAATTTAAAAAAGTTTAAGTTGTTGTTGTATAACATTCATGTAATTTTCTATTTTATAGTGCTATATATTTCCTCAATATCTAAATTTAAAACTAGTTAATTGCTTAGATGATTGTTCTTTTAAATTTAATTTGAATTCAGGTGCTTAATTTGCTTTGATTTTTTAATTCATAGTACTTTTTTAACATGCTTTATTTTATATTTAAAAATTTTAACATTTTGTTAAAAAATTTTCAGTAAGTTAGTTGTCAGATTCAAAACTGCGTTTTTGCTGTGTATAATTAGCTAAAAAATAAAACATTTCAACTTATTACATGTATTATCTTCTAAGTTGTAAGAATAAAAATACAAAACAGAAAAAAACCTCCTTTTGAAATTTTGAATTTAACAACCTTTTAAATGCTATAGACATTCCAAAAATAATTTCTAACATTAGTTTAATGAAATTTATAAGGTAGATTTTACTACATAAATAAAATTTTGACTCAAAATTTAGGAAATTGATTTTTTTTTTTTAAATCTAAAATTCTGTAGTCTTTCCCTTTAAGCATCAAAATCTGCTGTAAATATTAAATGTTTTAAAGCTGTCAGAATTAGTAATCACAAATACGACAGTCTTTAAAAGGAAGGTTCATGAACTGTAATATATAGTGATTTCATGTTCACTAAAGGATACAAGAAAACATTGACCCATGTATTAAAATTATCAGAATGAATTTGAAAATTATTGTATATCTTCAAATAAGTTTTAGATAAAAGTTACAAATGAGATGCTGATATAATTTACCATTTAAATTTCCAGACTGTGGAATCAATGCACACAAACATTGCAAAGAATTGGTTGTAATGGAATGTCGAAAATCATCTACATCTACATCACGATCTAATTCATTTGCTGCTGCTGGTAGGCTTTATATTCCTTCTAATATTATTTAAAATCTTGGATTTGTTAATACTAAAATTTAAAAAATATTGTAGTTTTTAATTCATACTGATTTATTTTATTTTATTTTACATACTGAGCTTCTCAAAATATAACATCATGCTTTTCTATTGATCACGAATATAAACACTTGATAAAGTACTTTTCAATTAAAGGTCTGTAATGATCTATAATTTAAAAAAAATTTGCATCCTAAAAGCACTTTTTATTTTAAAATGCATGAGTTAAATCATGATTTATAAAGACTATATGTTTTATAAATGTATAGTTGTATTATAGATTAAACTCAGTGGCTAGTGTATGTCTTTCCTTCCTCTAAATCATATTTTTAGCCCAAGGGTGTTAGCCCACAAGGGCTATTAATTTCATTTTGGCATTTTGCTCCGATTCACTATAAACTGTGAATCGCTTTTTAAATTGTTGTCACCAAATATTAGAGCCCCGTATTATATTTAAAGAAATTAAATAATAAAGAATCTCCATAAATGTATGTATGTTTCTCACATTGTGATAAAACAACGGTACATAGAGCCATCACATTTTGAATAACGTATATCTTCACCTGAATATGGGCATCTGGAAGCCCGAATTTGAAATGTGTTTTATTATCTATTTCATATTTTGTAAAACTTTATAACGAATTTTTGATTAACAAACTGAACAATTTCAAAGTGAGTAATGACAACACGAGAAGAGTATTTAATTTTATAAAAAATTATGATGGCCTTATATTCAGAACAGAATTTTAGTGTGAAGTTTTTTGCTGAAAATTACTGCTTCTACAGTAATTCTTTTTATCTTGGTTAAAAAAAATATCATATTTTAGTTTTGAACAGTGTTTGTTGGGGAAATTTTTATTGTATTCACTTGTATGAGTCTTTGTTTTCGAGTATGATGTTACTTTAGAACAAATACAGACTTTCATATGAACATTCATATTATTTACTGCAATTTAAAAAAAAAAAAGTAAAAAGTGAAGAAAAATGACTGTTTCTATTTCCATTTATTAGCTTTGCATTTTCAAGTTATTTATATTATAAATATTGCTTAGGTTGTTAATAGGTCATTAAAGCTTATATTTTGTGTTTTACTAGAAATTTAATGTTTTATCTCATGTTCATGTTTTTGTACGTGTTATATAATACTAATTAACAATAATGCATAAAATGCTTATAGTGGGTAGGGGTATCTTATAAGATAATTTAGAGTTTTAAAGCAACTTATTCATTTTGGTGATCAGTTTTATTCATTTTAGTGATCCTTTGGTGATCTTTGAGGAAAGTCTTGTGTAATAAAAAACATTATTGCATAATCAAATAACCTAGCTTTCATTTTATTGGTTAACTTTTGGATGGTGCATGGGAGAAAAGAAAGATTCTTAGAGAAACATGTAAACAAATGATTAAGTTAGCATTTAAACATATATGAGTACAAATAGTTAATGCACAAAAAAAAAAAAAAAAAAAAAAAAAAAAATGTACTGTTAACAGTTTCACTTCAAACAATGTTATGTAAATAAGTTTTTTAAAATACAGCTTTCTTAAAATCTTATTCTCCTTTGAAGATCTTTTAAGCTTAAAGCAAAATTACTCAAAGCGTATGCATTATAGTCATACCATTGGGTTGTTTTTTATAAAATAAAACATAAATTTTCAAGTTTAAAAATTTCTGATTCTAAAATTTTCCATTTAATTAAATTTTTTTAAAGTTATTAATAGAAGAAATCTAGTCATTAACTGTAGCTTCAGTAAGTGTATCAGTTTAAAAACCGAAAAATGTGCATATAATTTTTGTGTCAAAGTTTGTAATACAAACATTGATGTATTAGGCCTCACTTTTTTTTTAACTTGTTTATCATTTCTTATTAGTAAACAAGCTGTAAATAATTAAAAAGATGGCAAATTTCTGGTAAATTTTTTTTTTTTTTTTTTTTTTTTTTTTTAACCTAAGTTACTTTAAAGCAATCTAATATTTTCAGTAGCTCATGAATGTTTCTGGACTTCTATATTGCTGCATTTGGAATTTTGTACAGTACATTGCTAATGAGGGGAAAAATATATTCTACTCAAGTTTATTAAAATAAATGGGCATGTTTTAATTCAAGTTATCAAATTGCATAATGTGATTTATATATTTTAAATTTCAAAAACCCTCAAAGGCATGTTTGTACAACTTTTTATTGCAATATTTTGCATTGATTTATCTTTAATTAATACATTTCCAAAAAAGAAAGCTTCTTAATAGATTGATTTAATTGTTGTATGAATAATTTCAAATGAAAACTCCCAACCCTTAGTTGTTATTATTAAAGCATACTGAAAGCATCTACACAAGAAATCTCGTAATTTGTAGCATTATCTTTCTTTCTTTTTTTTTTTTTTCTTTTTCTTTTTTTTTTTTTTATCCCCATGCTATACATTAAAATGTGGATTTCTGATGATACTAAAAACATTCTATACAAATGTTATCAGTTATGCTTAGGTGAAAAATTCATCCACAGCATTTCAGTACATTTAGTGTTCTGAGCATACTCTAAAACCTCATTATTCTATGGAAAGAGTATGTCATAAATTAATTTTAAATTTCAGAAAATCAGCTTTTGTGAATAACATGATTGAGCAATAGCTTTTTGAAAATTGTTATGAAAACTAAATTTTCTGTTCATATATTTGACTGTTGTTTCATGTTTTTCTGGGGGGGGGGATCCTTAATTATTTGTTTTTCTTGTTATCTTTTGTTCTGTTGATTTAAAGAATTTAAAAGTTTTTGAATAATTATTATATTTTGATGTACTTTAACACAATAAACTGCTATAGCAATGTTTATGATTATTAAATGCTTAAAAAGCTTCATTTTAATGAAATCATTATAGAGTTACAGCTTGATCCTATCAGAAAATATTTTTACCATTTCATAATTAATGTATATATTATCTGTGAAATCTGAAGACACTAAATTTGCTGAGTAAATAAAGTATGGCAAATTACATATAATAAACTTTTCTTGTGAGTTTATATATGCATAATTATATTATGCAATTTTGAATTTAAGATGGATCAAAGCTAAAATCAAAAATTCAAAGACCTTGGCGAAGGCAGTTGAAAAGTAGTCAGTCAGATGGAGATTCTAGTCTCAGCTCTAGAACAAGCACAGACAGTGACCTCTGCAACTGTGACAATGGCTTTGTTATAATTGACGAGTCACAACCAGAAAATGTGAAAAGTACAGATGTATTCAAAGATTTTCCAAAGAGTCCAACTACTAGTTAGTACAGTTTTTATAATTAATTTTGTTGCTTACTTTAAATGTTTGTTCATTGAAAACTGCAACATAGTTCTATCAATAGTAATTTATCTCAATATTTTCTGTTTAATTCATAATTATTTTAAAAGCAATTATGATATGCTTACTTTTATAATCTTGCTTTAAAAGTCATATTTTTATCCAGAGCTTTCTACAAATTATATTCCATGGTATTTAAAGGACAGGTCACATGCAGTTACAGAGTGATTACTTTTTAATTACTGATCCTTAAAAATTGATTTAAAAAGTTTATTTACATGTTGACCTTTGTTTTCAGTGAAATACCATTATCACTGTGAGTAGTATCTGTAGATGGTTTTTTTTTTTTTTTTTTCTTAAAGATGCAAACTTTAAATCTGGAAGAGTAATAATTGTGTGTTGAAGAATTGACGTACCACATGCTGTTATTCTGCTTATATTATATTTTACTTAAAATGTTTGAACACAGTAAACTGCTGTATAAATATTTATAGTTATTAAATGCTTTAAATAGCTTCATTTTAATTAAATCATTATGCAGTTATAGCTTGATCCTTATCAGAAAATATTTTAACTTTTCGTGATTAATGTATATATTACCTGTGAAATCTGAAGATACTCAATTTTGTAAGTAAATAAAGTAATAGAAAATTACATGTACCTTTTCAAGTGTGTTTATATATGCACAATTATATATTATACAATTTTAAATTTTAGTAGCTCATGAATGTTTCATCATCATTTATCTACTTAGAAGTTTGTGATAACTAAAAGTGGAACAAAGCCTGTAAAAAAGAGAAAATTCAATAAATGGCTGAAAATTTTCTAATGCAGATCATGATAATATATTTTTAACTCTATTTCGATAAAATGACTTGTTTTCTGTTTATGTCATAATACAGTGTGAAGCAAAGTTCAAAATGAATTTGAATTCACTGACCACCTACATGCTGACCTCCAGTTTACAATTTTTTTTTTAAGTGATATCATTGTCTACTTCAACTTACTCTCCTTTGATGCTCAGCTAGAAAGATGCATGCAATATATTTTCTTGCATTAGCCCTGAAAGTTATTCACTTATCATAGAACCAGATATGACAACATAAGGCACAGTTCAATCAGAAAAAAATAATCATCATGGTTCATTCATGATCAAATGATTGAAGCACTGTCTTTCTTTCTCCTAAAAGAACTAAAAGTCTTCAGAAGTGATTGCAGGGTACTGATAATGTGTCTCTTTGTCTTTTCATAATCTTTGAAAACTCAAGTTTGAATTCTGAAAATGCCTTTATGTTTTTTCATGTAACTATTTTATAGGTTCAGTTTACTATAAATTCATTTTTATCAATTCAGCAACTGTCAATCCCATATTATGTGCATCTTTAAAGAATTGTTATCAGTAATCATTATTCAGAAAGTTGTCTTAATTGTAGAAATTCAATAGTAGAAAAGATGTCCTAAATTTAAAAACTCAATATTAACTTTATAAATAGAAGTTCAAAAATTCATTCAAAGTTAAATCTAGTTAAATATTCGAGTTAAAAAATTTAGTAACCCTGTGTATGTAGAAATAAAAACTGAGTAACATATTGCCAGAATTATTGGTATTTTAGAATGCATGCATGGATGAAAGCAATGATTAAAGGAACAGTTTGTTTAATATTTTATATTAGGTGCACAGTTATTTTCAAATTGGCACATCTCTTGTGAAAATTCAATTAGTTTTATTCTGTATGTATGAGGCTCTCATATTTTATATCAATGAAACTTAAGAACCTGTGATAAAAACTGTGCGTTTTGATTACAGCATCAACTAGTGTCTTGTCTACCACAAGGACACGTAACAAAAGAAGGTCTACAATTGTCTGCTGCCTCAGAAACTAACCCTAATCACTTTTTTGTAGGGTAACTTGAAAAAATGGCTTTAAGTTTGTCATCTTGATGCACTTTATGATTAATTGTCAATATATGCATTTCCCCCCCCTTTAAATAAAATGCTTGTAATAATACTGTTTATCTTTCCCAAGGCCAACATTTTCCCTAAACAACATAGCAATAAAACTTTAGATTTCCCCTCCCTGGAGTATACAAGTTCTGTTACTATAGTGACTGCCTCCAGTTAGACAAGCTGGGAGTAGTAGTTTCGTATCCTGTACGTATATTCTTCACTTTCAACTTTTTATAGTCTTTATTTTTCATTAGGACTACATAGATAGAATAAACCAATGTCTTAGGAAATTTTTACAATAGTTTTTTTAAATGTCTTAATAGTATGTATCATAATTTTTGCAGAAACTGCTCTTCAGTTTTAAAAATGAACTTTAAGTTAAAAATGTTTAATATCTACTTAAAGAGAATATCTTTTGTTCCCAGTGATTTAACGCTGAAATTAACTCTCTCCCAATTAACTTGAAACTGACAAGCCCAGTCTCCACTGTCCACTTTCATTATTGTTCCCCTTTTAACAGATGACATTAAATAATGTTTGTATCACGTTACAGAATTGTAACCACTTGTAAACTTTTTGTGAAAAACGTTCCCCCTCTTCAGCCTAATCTTTTATATCTCATTACTTCTTGGAAGTTTTTTTCATCAAATAAAATTTTTCTTGTAAAGGTAACATAAAATTCACAAAGGTATTTGTATATCTTTAATTTATTAGAATCACCATCTCCAACAAAAATTACGGCTTCATCTAGTGGTTGTGGATGCCAGCAAGAATTCACGTCTCCTTCACCAGCACCCTCTGAATTCAAAAGCGAAGCTTTGATTCAGCAATGTTCATCCTTACAGAAAATACCCCCATTGTCAAAGCATCTGGTTTCATGAAGTGTATTTTGTGTAATTTTTTATGTATATGAAATATTATAAAGAACTCTAGTTTTTTTTATTGTTGTATTGAAAATACTGTTAAAAGAAAAAGATGAAAAAAAATCTCATTCCAGTTCTTCCACATACTGATGTAAATGGTTCATTTTTAATTCTCGGAGTTTTTATAATGCAAGGTATCTGTACTTCTTGTGCTACAGTACGTTTTAAAGACTTAACATTTATACTAGTCATTGATTAAAATTGTCATAATGTGAATGTATTTTACATTGTTTTATACTTTTTATTTCAGTCTTTTTTTTATGTCTTATTTACTTTCTTCAAGCATGATTACATTTATTAGTTCATTTTTATTGCTTTATTGTCTCAATTGCTATAATTCACTTGAGAAACATCGTAATTTTTAAGATAGTTGACACAGTTATGATGTCTGATTTATTATTACAGGTCTCCTGTGAATGAATTTTAATTAATTTGCGTAAATTATTTTATATACAATATAAAATTTGAGAATCAAGTATATTGATTCTTCATAATTTATATGAATTACCTCCTCTCCCAGGGGGGGGGGAAATCGGTCTAAAAATATTTATCAAATGTTAAGCAAATATCATATGAAAAATTTGGTTACTTATTCATTTCCTAAAGTAAGCATTTCTGTTTTCATTTTACATATTACAGTATAGAGTTGATTCCTGATATCATATATATTTGACTGCTAAAACAAAGTTTTAGTAGGAACAGTAGTCTTCTAGTAGAACTAACATTGGAGAAGTCAAATTTTGAATATGAAAAAGTCAAAATTCCTTCTTGCAAATTACATTTATACTTATTCTTTATCTATTATATCCTGTTAAATTTCAGCATCTATTTAAAAGTAATCAATGAAGTGGAATTTCTTACAATTGAAAATTTAGGAAAACAATTTTTCCCTCTCCTATTTTTTCATACTCCCCCCCCAAAAAAAAAAAAAAATAAATCCCAGTATTTGATGCCATTTTTAGCCAATTAGAAGATAAGATTGCAGGAAAGCTAATTTTGAGTTTCATTGTAAAATCTCATTTTCTTTCTAAACTGGTTTTACTAATGCAAGATTTGTGCCTACAAATGTATATTTTTTCAGCAATCCATACAAATAAAAAATATTCTTTAGATTTCTTTCATTGACTGGCATTTTTTTTCACTTCAAAGCGGAAATTTTATAAGACTTTATGTATAGCTCTGTCAGTCAAGCAAAAAGTAAAGCAAGCTAAAGTTGCTGACGATTGCATTTTACTAAAATTTGTTCATCAAAATGTATCCCAAACTTTTTCCAATTTATATTTTTTTATAAGAAACACATTTTAATTCCTTTTCTACTATTCTATAGGAAGAGTCTACTGTATACACATCACCACACACCCACATGTATGTATATATATACTTATTTATCTTGACCTTAATAATAAGAAGGCCTCATATATAAAACATAAAACAGGCCTGTAATTTTGACATTGCTTCAGAAGGAGAGGAGGCAAAAGCATTGCATATAAGAAATGCCTTGCATAATATGAGTTTCATATGTTAAAAAAAAGTAATACAATGGCCTAAATATCATACTATGAATATTTTTTGAAGTTTAGACATTAAGAAATTGGGAATTGGTGATATAAATTATCCTAATACATTTCTTAAATTTTAGGCTGTATATTAAAATGTTATGGTTTTTTAGAAAAATATTTTAAAGGGAGGACTCCTTCTTTATATTCAGGCCAACACTCAGATACATTTTAATATTTATAATGGGAATTCTCAATGATACTTATAAGTATACCAGTCACAGGTTTAGTATAATTCTTCGGTTTAAATACTAAGTTTCCTATCAGAAAGCTGCTGTTGATGAATGCTGAAATGATTGTTGTTGCTATTACTCAGATTGTTATGAGTACCTTGCTACCATATTCATTAATTGTTTAACTAATAATTATTGATATATTATTTGGAGAAGGGTTTCATATATTTTGCCTAGACTGTTTGAATAAAATTTACCAAAGTGTTTAGAGTACAGTATTTTTATATTAAATATATAAAATGATTGTTAGGAATGTTTAAGAAAGAACATGTTTAAGAAATCACCGAGTTTAAACAATTAATTTAATGATGTATAATTCCTGCTTTAAATTCTTAACACAAATGTGACAATTCATTTAATATTTTAAATATTTCAAATCCTTGTGTTATTTTCTGTATTTAATGTCGTTATACATTTTATAATATACAGTATTTGTTAACTTATGTTATTTTAATTACGTAATAAGTATATTTAAGTAATTTCAAAAGTATATTTAAGTTTATATACGACTTATATATAACTTAAATATACTTTTGAAATTACTCAATATATTAGTCAATATATTAGTTTTTTTTAGTACTGATATATTGAGTAATATTATTTATTCAATATATTAGTGTTAAAAAACTGATATATTTTGTGATTTTTTTTAAATATTTATTTAACATTTTGTTATGTTGTTATAAGTAGTACATTAATTTTAGAGATGTTTAGAAATTTAAGTTATGTAGATATGAAGGACTGTGACATTAGACCATAAGATATTTACAGGAAAGTCATTGACTGAAAAAGATGTTCAGAAATATAATATAGACGTATAGAGAGCAAAAATTTTTCTGACTGGCGTAGTTGTTGGATATATATCAAAGAATCCACCTATTGGTGCAACACGTAGTATTTTGAAAATAATTTTTGAACTGCAATGATCAGTTTTAAATATAAATTGAAATTCACTGTTTTCATATTCTAGTTGAGATAAATAATATATTGTTAATCGATTTGTTTTTATTCTATCCTTATAATTGTGTGCAAAATAATTCGATTTGAATTGAGTCAATACTTTAATTGTATTAAAACAAGTAAATATTCAACATCAATATGAATGTGCATTTAAATTTTTAAAATTTGTATTTCTGTAAATTAGTATATTTTAAGAACTGCTTGATTAAAAACTGTTAATGTCAGAAACAAATAATTTAATATAAGAAACAGCAAACTATTTCTTTGATTTAAAACATTATATTTGGTAGGCATTAAGGTATAATTATTATAATTTGCTTTTTTTTTTTTTTTTTTTTTTTTTTTTTTCTGAAAGCATGTTAAGAGCTTTTTAAAAATGTGTGATAAAATGTAAACGTTTTTATAATATGTAATACGAGACCAATTTTGTAACCTGATTGTTGTGATTTTAACTGTATTTTATAAGTTGAAATGCATAATTTTATTTGTACTATAACCAACTGTCATAAATTAATTTCTCATAAGCCAAATGAATTGGGACCATCTGTTTAGCCTAAAGTATTGTATTTTATGAAAACCTCACAAATACAGTGAACTATATTTTCATATAGTTCAGATTTTTAAATACTGTAATATGAATATATATATATAATGTAGATTTGAATCTGATTGGCTTTCTTATACATTGTATATGTATACCAGTTCACTTAACCTCTAGTAGTGAATGAGTTCATGACTGTATTTCCTAGTCAGACGGATTACTAAGAATTTTATGTATTGAATTTATACATAGCTTTTAATTTGATAAGAATTTTAGGATGAAAAGTATTACTATGAACTTGTTAGTGATTTTGAGTGAATAATATTAACAGAATTTTAAAAATTGCCATCTTTTTAAAGATTACTCTTTAACATGAATCATATGTACATACCATGATTGAAATTTTAATAAAATAGATAGAGAATTTAACAACTTTAGAATTAAATAGAAGTATTTCCTATGCATCAAATTTTCTTTAGTTAGTGACATTCTTTGTCTTTTTTTCATTTTTATCACAATGCATTCTGAAATAACTAATTATAGAATTATGAAATTTTTTAAATACTTTTTAGGTTGCAATTAAGATAAACTATTTCATTTTCTACGTATGTATTTAAGATTTTTATTTTAAGTCACAAACTAACAATCTACCTCACCCACACCAAAAAAGGCATTTTTATAATTATACAGATTTTCAGAGTGTCATGTACTTATGTTACACTACACTGAAATATTTTCCTCTGTTTCCTATGAGATTTTCTATCTCATGTTTATGAATATCTAGTGTTGTATTAATTTTTTGTGCTATATTTTAATGTTTTGTAGTATTTAAATATTTCAAGTAAAAACAGAGTGATCTAGAAATTCGTAAATCTCTAAAAGTCAAAACAAGTATAAGGGAATGTGGTTTGCTTGAAAATGAATCCTAAAAAAGTGGAATTATTATTATTATTTTTTTTTTTTTACTGGGGGTAAATATTTAGTTCAACTTTTCACTGATAGAAAGCACAATAATATGGGAACAATAATAATAACAACCATAATAGTAAAAATGATTCTGGATAGCTTTTATTGGTGGGTATTCTGATTAGGTAACTATTTAATGCTCATCCCTGTTCCCCCAAAAAATCAGTTCAGAATAATCATTTTGTAATTGAAGACGGTCAAAATCTAAATATTTCTTGATTAGAAAACAAGTTTGTAAGCTATATTTCTGTGGAGAAAAAGTTCCCTAGTATATAGATATATAGATATTATGTTAATCTGATCGACTTTCTTATACATTCATTGTATATGCAACGTCAATGGATTTAATTTCTATTAGTACACGAGTTCACATGACTGTATTTCCTAGTCAAGTAAAAATACTGTATTTATTTCTCCTCTTTTTTTTTTTTTTTTAAACAAACTTTATGGTGCAAAAATTGACAGAATAAAATTTTGAGAGTAATTTAATTTTTGAAAAAGGCGGTAAATGAAAAGTAGTCATGGATAAACTACTGGTACCATTAAAATATTATTTATTTAAAAGAAATCTTCATTCCAATAAGGATTTTTAGTAATAGTAATGTTACAATATCTGATGGATATTGAATTCCGATATGAGACAGTAATTGAGCTAGACACATTTCGTAGAGCGCAACGTGTCTGGCTCAGTTAATTACCTTGTAAAGTGCATGGAGGTAAGAAAGGAAGGAGTGGCCAAACCAGCATTAGAAGTGAAGCACTACTCCGAAGCTTCGGTCACCAGATGGGGTGTTTATTGTTTACATTCAGAAGCTCGCTTGACAGTGCTCAGATAATATTTCGACACACGACAGTTCCATACAAATTGAAAAACGGGACACTTCCGCATAAAAGAAACATTCCTAGTATGATGGATAATAGCAATTTGTATAGTTTAGTGACATTTATACAAAAATCGCATCTTGGTCATTTTTGGATAACTAACAACAGCGATTTTGATTATGAATTTGTTTTATAAAATTCTAAGCTGTTGAACTACAGAAATGTAGATTTTAGCAAAAAAGTTATGCTTAAAGAATGAAAAATACCTCACCGTACCTTTAAGATTGTATACATTTTTCGACACCCTTAATAGAGTATTCGCTACTTTTACTTTATGTTCCAAACGCCAAATGTTTTAAATAAAATAAATTTTCACACCCACATATTATTGTAACATTTACTTTTTAAAATTAGTGTCAAAAAATATAGTGAATGCACAGAAATTAAAGATTTCCACATGCCGGAAATGAAAAATATGAAATATGTATGGGTATTTATGCATGTGTATCCAAAAAGGCATGTATCTGCCTTTAACAAAATACGTAAATATTTATTAAATTATTTATAAATGTATATGAAATGAAGGATTTATTCATTCATAAATAACTGTGAAAGTTACTGTGAAGAAATCTAATTATTAAATGCATCTAAATTTATAATGATTATAAATATTATCTAAATATATAATAACCTTAACATTGAATTGTAAACATAAATTGACATCTTCTTGACAAATACGTTACAAAACTATTTAAGCAAGAATTGTTCATACTGGAAAGCAATCCGTTAAAAGAAGGTATTGTAAAGCAATTTCTATGAGATGCGTACTTAAGAAAGTAATAAAGAAGAGTTTTGGAATATGTATTGTTGAAATTAAGGGTAAAAAAATCT